GATCGTGGTTAAAGTAGGGGAAGAAAGTTAGTATGGGGTAGCAATCATGTATCAAGAACAGGATATAAAACTCATTATAAAAATAGACAACGCGAAAAACGAATTCTAAGCATCAGCAATCATCGGGGGCATAAGTTAGTACGACATAATTGTTTATATTGTGGGTGTATAGCACTCTCTAAATTGTAAATTCAAACCATTCATTAAGGTACGGTAGCATGACATCTTAGTTTTGGGGTGAATGGGATAGTTAGTAATGTGGACTAATGAACCTATTCATTGCTAGCAATGTACTATGTCAGGTTAAACTTCACGCGGTTCCTCCTGGCAACCACCGTGATAAGTTCCTTGTATGTTTGTTACGATGGGCTAACTGACCTCATGCCCATCCTATCATCCTCCACTGGTGCCCGGCTAGCATAAAGCGTTAACGCAGGCGGATACATAATTTCATTATCATCCATAAAAAAATATCTTAGTTCTCCGGGATAACAACGTATAAGTGGTACCAAGGACGTCACATGATAACGTGGTGTCCGTAGTGTTGTTCATGAATATAGCCGATGGTTATCATTTACCAGCCCTCAGCTTGTATGTTATTCCAGGTAAATAAAATAATTGTTTCGAGAATAATTCTAGAAATACATGAGAGACTAAGACTTCTAATTTTGTTGGCTGTAGCCGAGCTACATAAAATGAAACGCCGCTATATAACAATAAGATTATACAAATTATTATAGGTAAACCTTTAATCTCGATCCACAGTTACTCGACTCGGATACTTTATTGCCTACCAGATTGCTTCGCTCAATTGCTGTGTTTTGTATTGGCCGTCATCGTTAGTAGAATGGCACGGCACTGACATTCAGTAACCTGGGCCTGCGCCACTCGATAAATACCAATTCATTTTATAATAGATTTCTACATCGTACATAAAATAAAATTGTAAGCGATCAATCTGTACATATAATATTAAAAAAATAGTAAACATTGATACACGTTACAGCTATGAAGGATTTTGTTTTAATTTTCATGTACTTGTTTGTCTGTGCGTTAGTGCACGCTAAATAAAAGCTTCCAACTATAAACTTCTCTTTAAAAAATACGGATATGATTATGGATATGGAATAGCAGGTTGTACCTTACACATTGGTAATGCTATGCTTACTAGGTCATCTTAACACTGTATTATTGTAATCCATCATATTAAACTTTTTTTCAATAAAAAAATCTATAAGTTGATTTAACTTTTTCTGAATACCACTCCTATGTCACGAGATTAACTATGTGCAGAATATGACATAACTTTGTACAGAAAGCATGTAGTATGAAATCATAATATCAGTGAGGTCATGTTGATCGTCACTAGGTAGTTTAGTAGTAGATGTCTCTGTATAAGAACACACCCATTTGCGAAGTGCCCATATAAAATGATTGCTCTAAGCGTCGCTGCGTGATAGAATCTGGAATAAATACGGGAAAAAGACTATATAACTAACTGTACCTCGCGGTTTTACTCGCAGTCTAATTTAAGAGAAATCGCGACCACCCTCAGTCCATTACCTATAGCATCGTATTTTTTAATATAATAGGAAATTGATTTTATTCAAATAAACTTAATATAAGGACCATTGGATAGTCATACAATATTTTATTGATTCTACCGCTCATTCGGAAAGAAAACTCATCACAAGTAAGAAATTTGATTTTCACTAGTATTTCATCAGAATTTTTTCCTTTTGGCTGATCGTTTAATAATTGTTAAATAGCCTATTCTCAACCAACTATGAAATGTAAAAAAAATCGAATTCGTCGGGTAATTTCAGATGGAAACGCGTTCAAACATTATATATTACTATATTTTCATGTTTGGTTTTAAATGGATAGTGTTTATGTTAGTTAATAACCTCGCCACGCACACATAATTACTGTACACACACATCCGGAGGAACAAAACCTTATCGTATATTATATAGCATACGAAATTAATTGGAAGCACACACGAACCGTTCCAATTATTTTTATCATCAATGGAATTACTTCACCGCACAAGTTACTTCCACCAGCCATTATAAACACAACCGGCGTACGATCGACTAGTTAGCATAATAACTTGTAATTACTAGGAACAAGTGACGGAAAGATGTGGCGAAAACACGGAAAATACCTACAGGTTGTAACTGTACCAGTGGTGGCAGTTTGACTGTGGTCTAGATGATGACAGATAGCGGATATTGTGTCTATTTTTAGATCTCTTAATTCGAGAAAACAAAATCTCTTGTCAGCATTATTTAAATTGAGTGCTATCTGCACTTGTCCCCTATCGTCCGGGGAAGCTGTAAAAGCCAGCTGGGGCCAACACCATAATATTAGCAAGAAAATAAAATAGTTTCTAATGACTTGTATAAATTATTTTCATAAACTAATTTCATCATATACAGACCTCCATCTAATAGTCGATGGCAGTGTTCCTTTACATGTTTTTTTCGGATGTATAAAGGTCCATATATGTATGTATGCCACTAATTTTAGGGGTAAGCGGCTGAAGTAAGTTTATGATAGAATATCTAGGGTATAATACTCTACTACCAAAGACAGTCTTTGGTATTTCGCCGGTTTAGGCTGTCTTCGGTGTTTGAATTTGATCTTTTTGTATGGCTACCTTGGAGTTGTTGGACGAAGTTACTACGCATATTAGAACAACGGTTTTTATATTGGGAAACAGGAATATATGTTTCTGTACTACCACGTCAATAGCAGTGATGACGCGTAATGGTTTTAATGAGTTATTTAAACTGGTACTGTACATATAGGCAATAATTGATTCAGTGCTACCGACCAGGTCTAAATTGCTACACATATAAATCAGAAATGTAATGATTTTAGATTTACAAAACTTATTCCCAAAGAGGTGATAATGATGACGAATTTTGTGCTTTAAATATTAACATACTTTTGTTTTAATTTATTTAATTTTACATTTAACGGTATTTATAAAAATGTGCATACTATCTTCGCTTTGCGGCTATTATTTAAACCACAGTGTAATAAACGGATCATAAGTTTTTTAATGAACATTCACTGAATATTATAGAGTTGATGATGCGTGTAAATACTTGGCATAATTTCTTCAAATTGTTCATTAGTTCGTTCTATTTTACACACCCAACTTGTAAATCGCCGCAGTGGTTATACGTGATCAATATCTACTCTATTAATGATAATTGAATGTTATGTGGAAACGATAATGCTTTTAAACAGATAGTATTTCCTAAATAATCGTTTCCTTTCATCAGATAAGTTTAATATCACCGTGTTATGAAGTGGTTACGTTAAAAGTATAATTATTAATCGTTGATAAGTCGAATGTTGTGCGATATTTATAACGTGCTGAATAAATATAGCGGGATTCCGTAATAGGGGAATGATTATATTGCATATGAATCAGTAGTAGCTGCTAAGCGGGGGACGATTGATAATGTAGTGATAAGTGTGCATTAGTAAGGGATATGTTTGTTAAGCGATTTTTTTGTCAGAATATAGTACATCTAGTGAAATTCATTATTATATTGTAAACTCGTGCAATAACTATTTAGGTAAATATGTTAATTCAATTCAGTTTTAACTGCATTTTTCACTACTTATTTGCATTCGATTATCCTTAAAAGTCCCATGTAACTTCCGTTTGAGTCATATTGCTAGTCGGTTGATATCACGTTGTGTGACGCCAGTGAGCGATACTCTCATAATTTGCCATTCGTAGCCGAAGTATCTTCATACACTATAATTATACTGCCATATCTTTTTTGACTCATAGCCTCAAGTAAATTGCTATGCGGCAGATAAAGGTACTAACGCGGTGGACTATTTTTTAATGGATGAATCATAGAATGGTAGAACCATATGCGCTAATATTATACGGCAGCGGTGCATCTATGGACAATAATAGAATAAGCATAAAGTGAAATCAGTTAGCCCATCTTTTTACGGATGGTCAAATGTATTAGTCGCCGTTACCGACAAGTCCCATTCTTCCTCCTATCTTTCTCCACTACAGTATGGAGTTTTCACGAAGGGGGTATATTAAGGTTTCTTAAACGTCGGCGCACGTAACATCCCTGGTGTTTCAAACTTCCATAGGCTACGGTAACCGTTTACCATTTGATGGGCTGTATGCTTGTTTGGATGAAGTGGCGGCAGGTTACGGCGACGACGTGCGATTCACGAGTTTCCCTTAAACTTAAGGGCAAAATTTACAAGACCATGATCCGGCCTGCTATTTTGTATGGATCAGAGTGCTGGCCCATAAAGGCGACGGATGAAAGACGACTACATGCAATTGAAATGCGAATATTGAGATGGATGTGTGGTGTGACGAGGATAGACAAGATAAAGAATGAATACATCAGAGGAAGTATGAAAGTGGCACCGATGTCGGAGAGGTTAAAGAGTAATCGTCTATCGTGGTATGGGCATGTAATGCGTAGGAATGAAGATCATATCCTAAGGACGGTGTTACACATGAATGTGGATGGTTATAAGGGTAGAGAAAGACCGAAAAAGAGATGGATGGACTGTGTAAAAGATGATATGGTGAGAAAGGGAGTAAATAACGGGATGACTGCAAACAGAGATGAATAGTAGAGCAAAACATATTACGCCGACCCCAAATAAATGGGATAAGGAAGAAGCAGATGATGATGATGCTTGTTTGACACCATCATAGTATAAGAAAAACATTCGCAAAGGACTTTGTTACTATAAACAATTAGAAATAGGTTCATTATTTTCTAAAAGTAGGAATTACTAGGTGTGCCCGCGGTTTCACCCGCATGAACAGTTTACTATTAGTGTAAAGTGTCATCTAAATCTGTTCAGTAGTTTTTGCGTGAAAGAGTAACAAACAGCCATCCATACACAAAAACTTTCGCATTTATAATATTAATAAGATTAGCTAACGGTATCAAGGAAATGGCTAAATATAAATTAATTTGTTGCAGTAATGTCTACAAGGTAGCTTGTCGGCTGGCGCAGCAATGCCGCTGCCGAAGCGCTGCGTGGAGCCTGTGCACGTGTCGCGAGGCACGGTGCCCGAGCGGCTCGCTGTACCCTCCGAACTAGAAGCCGTCACCAATGGAACACTGGCCAACACTGTCAGGTACTGTACTCCGATCCTATACTTCTCTATGATTTTACTGAACCTTAATTTAATAATGAAAATCCAATAATATTGATAAAAAATCGTGAAAAATATTCGAAAAGGATTTTAGACTGATACATATACAGATTTTATACTGTCTTTAAGACAGCTTGTACCTATCCTATAAATGACACGGAATTTAAGCAACGACATGTTTAAATTGCAGGCAGCTGTCTTCGCTTTCGAAACATGCGGAGGATATGTTCGGCGAGTTGACTCGTGAAGCCACAGGTTTGGCGGAAAGGACTAATGTACTGCAAGCCCGCATTGATAGGCTGGCGATAAAGGTTACGCAGTTGGATTCAGGCGTTGAGGAAGGTTGGGGACTTTATATATACACTAGTAACCCGTCTCGGGTTAACACACCTACAATTATTGTAATATTATGAAATGAAATACGTTCTTAGCCACTGATAAAATAGTTCTCTGGAAGTGAATTAATTTTAAAGTATATTAAATATTTTTTGAGTTCATTTATTACAAAAAAAAAAAACAAAAGGTTCTACGACTACTATTTATGAATTTGAGTCATGTATTGTACAAATATTTTTATTCATGTACTTTTTTCTATATGTTTGTGTGGTTTCTACATATTTTTTTGCAATAAAATGTATATATGAGGAGATTAGTTTGTTTGTACATAGCTCTGCTTAGTTTGGGACGAAATTTCGTTGTATTATTTATTTATTTACAATAATTTTATACAATTTTCAGTGTCGCTTCAAGAGATCTCGTCGCGCAAACCGTTCCGTTCGTCCCGGACGTTTCAACAGCAACTGTTCTCAAGAAACACAATGCCGTCAGCGATGCTGGCGACGTACGCACGCTGCGACCGCCCGCCGCCGCTGGAACGCCTCAACGAATTCCGAGACGACGGTCGGGATGCTAGAAAATTCTACACCGACCCAGATTACTTCTTTGAGCTGTGGCGTAGGGAGATGCTGCAAGATACCGAGCGTATACAGCACGGGAAGAAGGTAAGAAACACGTGCATGTGCCAGTATTTATTATTCAAACACCTAATCAAAGAAAATATATTGTTATTATCGACAAAAAGAAGCACTTAAGCGAGGAAATGTTACGAAATATTCTAATCGTTTTGAATTAAAAAAAAAATGTTGTAAAACTTTTAATTTATTTGTAAACATGTTTTTATATCAGAATCAAGTTTGCAATTTGTTGTAGTTGATATGTTATCTTCAGGTCGCTATTTTTATGAAACTAGAATGGAAAACAAGCTAACGGCCTACATAATGCTCACATAAGACTTGAGCGGGAGCTCACAGTACTGGAATTCTTATGCATCCATACCCTAGAACTATAACAACATATTTAGTAAAGACGCAAACAACTTTGTATAAAGTAAAACTTAACACTCTCTAATAACATTGTAAAATTACTTGATATTTATTCGCCATCAATTTGCTCCACGAACGTACCCTTCTCAATTCGAGGTATTTGACTCTCACTTGACTGGACTATTGGACACGTAAGAAATGCATTCTACAATCTAAGAAGATGTAAGTTTTTCATCATACAGACCGATATTCCTATATTGAAAATAAAAAGACAGATGTTTAGTCTCTTTCTATGTCGCAGTTGGGTATCTAACCGTTAATAACGGTAGCTAACGGGTTTTTTACAACTGTAGGTGCGACCGGCGCGGAGCGGTGCGGACGGGCGAGCAGGGAGGCGCGTGCGGGCGCCGCACTCGACGCGCGAGAAGCAGAAGGCGGCCGCCGTGACGCGCGGCGAGCACATCATGGCGCCCAACCAGCTGCGGCACTACAACATCGAACCCGCGCCCGTCTCCGCGCCCGCGCCCGCGCCCGCGCAAGCGCCCGTCTATCGCATGGACCCCGCCTACCACCGTGAGTAGATACGATGTCGTCTGTTGATTGTATTGTGTGCACCCCGCGTTCCACCGTGAAGATAAAAGCACGATCTATCTGTCTAAAGTTCCTCATTCTAACTGTAACGATTGCATGATACAGTAATGTTATAATATGATGTCACTTGAGAAGATGAGATGAGAGTGACTGACAAATGTACATTAGAATATCTACCTTATACACTAAATACCAATAGTAAAATGTAAGCATGACATGGTTTGTGCAGTACTTATTAGACGATATCTTTGTCTAACTGGCCTTATTTATTTGCAAGTAATACATTGTATTATGTAGATAACTGTGTTCCATAGTGGACATATAATTAACATTAACTAAAAATCTCAGTCATGTTTATGAATGACTACTTGAATATGTTAGAACATTAATACTTATAAATAATTCCATAAATATGTATTATACTACACATTATATTTAAAGAGTATTTAATTTATTACTATGTTATGTTAATATAATTTGTGGTATGTGGTTGGAAAACAAATTTTAAGTTTGCTTGTTTCGATATGATGAAAACATGATAGCAAAAAATTTGTACAATAAATTAATACAAGTATATTACATACAAGTAATTGTTTAATCATTTCAACTTATCACATGTTGATCTTTCGAGCCGGATATACACAGTTGTATTTTTAACAGGTATTATTTCATATTTCAGCAACCACCGTTACGGATGGAGGATACAGGATGTCACAGAATCGTCAGCCATCGAATCATCCAGCTAGACCCAATTCGATCGAGATAGAGAACCAACAAAACAGACAACCGAGAATCACAGGAAATGGACATGGTAAGTAAATCAATAGTTCCTTATTATTCTTATTAATTCTGAACCATAGGGAAGGGTCCAGCTGGCTCCGTTCTTAAATAGGGTTATGTTCAATATGTCTTAATGTATTGTTTTAAGGTCAATGTCCTTATGACTAAGTACCCACTATGTTAACATTGTGGTTAGCCGTGGCAACAGATAGTTAATGTGATATTGTGTGTTCAGTGTTCTCGCCAGTGATGTCTGAGGAGAGTCCGTACGGGTCCGTGTCGGAGTCGATCTACGGCGGCAGCGGCGCCGGCACCCCGCGCCGCCCGCGCCCCTCCGTGCCCCCGCCCGCGCCCCCCGCGCCCACGCACGCCCACGACGCGCCCGCCACGCACACGCCCACCAGGTACTACTCTTACTGACTCTTACACTAGTGTTTAGAGTTGCACTACTGACACTAAGAAACGGTTGGTGTATCAATACTACCGTGACATATTGCCGTCGTCCGGGCTGTGACCACAGAGAGACAGTTATAGAGAGGCCTTTCTCTGCCCTTGTAACCATATCATTGTGGTGATAAAACTTACGTATAATTATTATTGGTGTTTATATAATCGAGAGTATGGCTTATCAGGCAAGTCGTCCTTTGCTTACTTTTTTTAAATTTACGAGTTCTATTAATGGAGATGTGTGTGTGTATTGTAGATGTACGTTGCCGCCGCCGCCACCACCGCCCGAGGGCGGTCCGCTGTCGCCACCAGCGCTCGTCAACGGAGCCTCGCCCCCGCACCGGTCTGCACTCGACGCTCACCTCGATCACATGCACGCAGTCATCGGTCAGTATCAGTAACCACATTACATGTTCGCATTAGCGCACACATCACTAACAAATCAGTTCGTTGTCCCATTTGACGGTGTCTTAAGACGCTGTATAAATTGATTCTCAGATTTAGAGCGCCCTCTGCAGTCGATCCAAATATACATATTTTCGTGACGTTGTAGAGGCTAACTATGGCCAATCAGTATTAAGATTTGAAAAAGAAAACTGTTTTCAGTTTAGGATTAGATATGCAAATGTTATAAGTTGAGTATTTAATAGAATTAGTGCTAATTGGTGGTTTGTATTCACACACTTAAACTTAAAAATGTAAAGTAATAATAAAATTATTTAAAAGAGCAACACGCAAGTTTCTTTTTCGTTCTTCTTGTGATGAGACAGCTTTCCGAACGAGCGGTAGATTAAAAAATGTAATGACTATTCAAAAGTGCTTCAATGTAAATTTATTTGAATAAATGATTTTCTATTCTATTTCTATTCTATTCTATTCAACTTGTAATAAGTGTTTGAATGGTCATATTTGAGCTACAGAAGATAACGGAAATTGTCATAATCACAGTGAGCAGACATTCTAAGGAGTACAATTGTTAAAGATCTTCAATATGAAGCTTCGTGTCCTTGAGATTTATTTTTCCGAACTCTAACCGAGTGGTTGAATACTTTCGTTAACTGGGTATTATATTGCGCACAAGCACGGCCCAGACGAGAGGCTAATTGCGGAGTCCAACTTCCATTACGACATATCGCATACGTGGCAACGAGGTTAGCTGACGGTAGGGTGTCACCGTTCGGCAGGCATGATGTCGGAGGAGCCTGGCGCGCGGTCGCCGCCGCCGCCGCCGCCGGCGCCGCCCGCGCCGCCCGCGCCGCCGTCGCCGCCCGCGGCGCCGGGCCCGGCCGCGCCCGGCGCCGCGCCGCCCGGGGAGCGCCCGCGGCCGCCGTCGCCGGGCTCGCTGCTGCGCGGCGCCTCCGCCCTCAAGCCGCCGCGCCCGCCCGCCGAGCCGCAGCCCGACCCGCGCTCCGACCTGCTCAAGGCCATCCGCGACGGTGCGTTTCTTTTTTATTGTCGTCTACATTGTTATATTGGGCGGTACGCTACGTTATCTCTCTGTTATTGATGTTTGCAGAAAATTTTAGATATCTTTAATGAAGCAGTGGATAGTTAGATTTCGCGCGGGTCGAGACCGTGCCTGCCTACTACACGGATCCGTGTAGGTCGCCATTTACAATGGATGTTTTGTTTTGCTGACGGTGCCAAATATACCGATTCATGTAATAGTATAAATGGACAATACCAGAATAAAAAATAATTACAAATTAAGATTTAATTGGTAATACGAAATAAAGAAATAAATACAGCATTTTTAAATGGAATCGCATTTTTTAAGGCAGTAAACTTGTTTAAGAATGTATAGTGTAAATTTTCCGGTAAACAGATTTAAAAAAAAAATTATGTAGTTGGACAAGAAATTACGACCTTCTGTTGTAATGTATGCTTGTAATACTTATTAATCGTTATCGAAAATATCTTCCTAGACATAATATACATTAATTTGATCGACTAGATTTTTAAAGATTTAAAATGCAATGAATTTACTGCAGGCATAAAACTACGCAAAGTGGAGAAGCGTGGCGACGAGAACACCGGTCGGTACGACACGCTACGAAGCGCGCCGGCGCTGCACGATGTCGCGTCGATCCTGGCGCGACGTGTGGCAGTCGAACTCAGCGACACCAGCTCCGGCGCCGACTCTGATTCTGATGATTCTGAGCAGTGGACCGAAACACGCGCGTGACGCCGCGCCGACCCGCCGCCCGCCCCTCCCCAGCCACCGCCCCCCCTACACTCCCAACCCCAACCTCCCCTACACTCCCAACCCCAACCCCAGCCCCAGCCCCACGCGCCGCCCCCGCCCGCGCGTTCGGAAGTACGCGGCGAACCCGTCGCGATCACCATCAACCGCGCCAAGCTCGATGAACGCTCCGCCTCCCGCGATCAATCGGACCCGGACAAGTCCACATCCCACTCGGACTCCGATAAGGCGGATGAGCAGTGCTACGTGAGAAACTCCTCATTTTTAAGTCGGGATATTGAAGCCCAAAAGAAGGCGGAGAGTCAGGCGACAAAGAAAGTAAAATCGGGAACCCCACTGGTGAAAGTCGGATCCCCGACTGGAAAGGTCCTCTCGCCGCCTACGAAGGTGCCATCTCCTCCTGTTAGAGAGGTCCCGAAGGGCGATGTAACTCCGCCCCGAAAAGTCATATCGCCGCCGATGAGGACAGTCACGATTCCACCGAAAAAAGAAACCGTTTCACCACCGAATCGGGAAACATCTTCCCCGCCGAAAACGGACGATTTACCTTCCAAGACGGATGCTGCATCGTCTCAAAGGGATATCACATCGCCTGCGTCCAACGTCAAATTAAATAAAACCGACTCGAAAGGCGATGAAAGCACGACGCCGCCGAGACTAGTTAGAAGAGATTCGTTTGTTAAAGAAGCAATTCTTAAAACTGAAAAATTATCCCTAATCACGAACGATTCTATCGATAAAACGTCTGAGAAAAGCGTTTCCGAAAATAATAAAAATAGCATGGAAAAAGATAAAACTGTAAAGGGTGAAGAATCAAATGGGGTTGGGGATAAAATTAAGAAATTCGAGAAAGCGGCCGAGGACGCAAACGTAAGCGGAAACGGAACTCGGACGATGCGTGGCGGCTCAGGAAGAGGCCGCATTGTTTCTGATCGTATTGAAGATCTGCCGCCGCCTGCTACGCCATTCAAAGACAACGTTCATTTCGAACTTGGGTCCACCGCCGCTTCCGCTACTGTTACCGTTCCGCCCGAAAGAGGTGCCACACTGCTCGAACGCCAACAGAGCGTGACTAAAAATAATTCTCCAAACTCGACTGCCAAGTGGCAGAGGAGTGACAGCGTCTGCGATCAGGAGTGGATCAAACCAGAGCCGCAGAAAATTGTGAAACCGGAGTTCAAGCCGATACAGTCGCAGGTCGACGTCACGATTCGCTCACCGAGTCTCGGTTCGAAGATCGGCGATCAGTTCCCATCGCACGGGACGGCGTTCCGCAACGTCGCATCGCCTGATCCTTCCCGTACCAATGTTCATAAATTCGACGACGATGTAAATACTCAAAATAATTTTAAGGCATGTAAATTGAAAAACAAAGAGAAGTACTCCGTCAGCAAGGGATCGAGTTACTTCACGCGGGGCTCCGAGGAGATATGGCTAGTGAAGAAGAAGGATATAGAGGAGATCGAGGAGAGGGTGTTGGATTCGTTCCGCCGAGCCGGTGGCAATATATGTATGCGGAGCGAGTCGACGCGGGCGTCGTCGGAGGCCGGCGTGCCGTTCTCTCACGCCACCACGGGCCGCAGCAAGCGGCAGGCGTACACCCGCAGCGAGTCGCTCGACCCGGGCCGGGCGGCGCGCGCGCACACCCTCAAGCGGCAGTCGTCGGTGGCGTGCACGTGCGGCCACGACAAGAAGACGCGCGCTAAGTCCGCCGTCGAAACGCCGCGGCCGCGCTCGCGCTCACATGGAGACGACGCCCAGCAGCACGTCCTCGACAAGTACGAAACGCTCGTTTAGTGCTGACAAACCGCACCCGCGCGACCCTGACCTGAGTTACGCTACGCTCCTCTGTTGCCGTTATTGCCACATCTTTCCAAATATGATTAAGATAATCGTCTCGTGTCCAAATTTTTTTATCTTGTAGCCTATCTTTCGGTTATGACTAAAGCCCTGCAAACCTAATATAGAAAAGGATTTTTCTATATCAAGATCGAATTATTACAATTAAATAGACCTTTTGTAGGGTTATGGTTGGAGGTCCATGTAAAACTTTGAGCATTACCAAAGTTTTATATTGACCCATTACTTGTGTAGTGCCACTTCACTTACGAGAGTGATACAAAGGTGCTGGTCTTGTAAGCTACAGATATGCTGAACGACAACGGACGCTCACCTATTCTAACTCTCATTGTTAGGTCTATTGTCTACCACATGTCATAGGATATGTGTGCGGTTCAACTTTTTTCCTAAACTGAATTACACTGAACTTTGTCTCTTGCCTCGAACTTTGTGCTCGATAACAACGATCTGCGTTCCCCTTTCGTCTTGTGCAGTAACCTTAAACCTAATTATATTATTCCGTGCACGATAAATTGTGATGGTAATATGTAAGTCTGTCTCGGTCTGCACGGCATTTGGAAAAGTGATAAATTGTCTGTCACTTAGAGATTACGAGAGTGCAGGTCGCAGGTTTTTGTATTGTAAGTATAACTTGGTGCAGTGCATGGAATATTGATTATAATTATATATTTGAATATATTATTCACATAATCAATGTGGTTTGTAATGGATCGGTAATATAATGTATGTGTCCATTGTATGAAGATTTATTGGCTAGTCTTATGAAGATGATATAGGGATTAGGAGTGACTCATGTCTTAAACCAAAAATATACACATTAAATGGTAGTGATGAGAAATGATTAGATGTAGTATATAAAATATCTTCTCTTCCCTTTTTTAAACATTGAAAATGGCTAAAATTAAATGTGGTATCTAAATGTTCTTATGTGTGATCATGGAGGTAATATTCAATTTTCCTCGGCTCCTTAGGAGTCAGGTACATGTTTTAAAGTAAGCCATTCTTTAGATAGATAGTAAACCCACCTGGCACAATATGTTTTAAAGGTGCTTTGCTTATTTAATTCAAATTTCACAAAACCTTATTGTTTTGATAGCGGTTGTGAAGATTTTTGGACGTTTATGGATTATTTTTACGATGGCTAGAGTGACACTATAATTTTGCAGTTTTTGTATTTACTAGTCGTCTCTTGAAACTTATCATGTAATTTTGATAACTTATAGAACATTTTACACTATTTATTTAAAATTATATTATCCATGTATTAATAATATTACATAAGAACGATTCCATTAGGCGTTACAAAACACAATATTTACATAAAATTAAGATTTATAAAATAGATTTATGGAATAACTACCATTTTGTAATTTCATATTTAGTGTGACCGCGTATGTAGTGCCAATGATATCGATTGTATAGTTTCGACAAAATAATACATAACTTCCATTTTTATATTAATAATAAAATTTTGTACTCGTCTGGTAGTTGAGAACAATATATATGGTATAGGAAATCGTGTGATTTTCGTTTACGCATGTACGCAATCCCTATATGTTGTTAGCTGTGTATCTGTTGATATTATATACATGCATTCCAAAATGTTTTGTTGCTCGCAGTTTTTACGCGAATTGTTTTATTGTAATACTTTTAATGTAAAAGAGCAACGAATGTGTACCAAATTGTCAAGATAACTACATAGTATTGTACCTATATAGATGTAAGCTTTTCTATAAGTTTTTATACCTTAATGAGTTACTTGTAGTCAATTGTCCATCAATTCTTTTTTATACATTTCTAATTTGTGGTAACAATTGATGAATCTGATTAGATAAGACCTATGAATGTTTGAATTTGTATTTCTTTTATACCTGATTTTACGTAAAGTGTAAGTGAATATTATTCCCTCGTTTTTGTATATAAAATGATATTATTGTATATCATACTTACTTATTATTATTTTGATATTATATCTCATAAATAAACAGTTATGATAATATTTAAATAAATTATTCTTTAATTTCATAAATGATGGATGGTCATGATTTTCTTATATATATATATATATATATATCTAAAATCGTGAATATTGAAAAATTTTGGCAAACCTTATTGTTTTGCATACTGTCTAAATTAAGCAACATTGTAGAATAGGAGCATGATGTAATTATATTATTATTATGATCACGATTAGCATTATATGTAAATTGTAAACCTAAGGAAATAATTAGAGCATGTTTTATATTATGTAGAGTATGTAAACGCAATTTTATTTTGCCATATACTGGCAAACGCTGATTATTTATTTGCATTTTTTCTTAAATGTTTATATTTTTTAAGATAAAAACCTGAAGCAGAGTTGTTGTAATCGCTAAATGTAGTAGTCCAGTATAAAATATTTCTTCTATTAATTCCAATGTGATAATGCTAAGAATATGCATGCGTTGATATCAGATTACATGCTTAATACAAAACTGTATTAACTCGAATATTACAAGCTGTAAAATCAACTATAAAGTTATAACTTTGAAGACTAGTTCCAGAATTTTATTATTTTTGAGTTAACTCAGTGTTCTATTAAGGATGTGATGTGTATAATAAAATATTATTTTTAAGAAAAACTATTTGTATAGAATCAATGAATTCAAAATTTCACTTAAATGTATATCAAATATTGAAATACATGTCATTATAAATAATCATCAATTGATATTATATTAGTTGTATACATCATAAATTTCTTTTATGTTTTATTCTCAATAACTACTACAGCGATTTTAGTACAATCATTAAATATTATCAAAATCACATTGTAATTATTAGAGAAATACAAAGCGCTTCATATACCGGACTATGACGTCATTATGTCTGATAAGAGAATATTTTATAAATTGTTTATTTGCTAATACAAATTAAGTTAAAATTAATGAAATTGTTTTATTTTTATATTCCTTTCAATAATACATACCTTTTCTCCCTTGACTTGATTAACTCGGTTCATCTGATTATAATCCACGGCGCCAGCGAATGAACTGATTATGACGAAAATATATAATATGGGTGTTTTCCTATTTACAAGATCATAAAAATTTGACAGCCGTGTGATGATATTATTATTAGAAGCCATGTATTGAAATTGCAATACGCGACCATTCTAAATGCAATTCTTTTATTTTTTTTAAGTTTATATATTCTATTCCCAAGCACTTTGTTTCTCCAGACTTCCCGCGTCTGTCTTGTTCCCTTCTCTCACCGTTCCATTTCAGGCATTTCATTTAATAAATGTCATAAATCACTTAATACAATATTCACAAACAGTAGTGTTAAAAACGTACTTATTTAAAATTTCTTTGGCAACAACTTTTGTTTCATATGTAGACTGGCTAATTCAGAAAAACATTAATTAAATTCAGAATCACAATGGTATCAAAAAGGTATAAGACATATTCGATGGCTTTTTTTCATTAATAATATATTTTTGCAAATATCAGATATACTATACAGTTTACATACGTTTTTATACATTATATTTGAATGTATATAATCACTGAGTCAGTCAGTAAATTGGACACTGTCAGCATATTATGTCAAAAATTATACAGATATACCGAATCATGTTTAATAAGTATGCTTTGGATCTAAACATGGTAGATAAACATTGTTTATCTAGGTATATTGCGTGAAATGAAATTCAAAAATTCTCATCGTCTCGTTAAATTTTGTTTCGTTTCAAGCAAAGTTGTTACTTAATTAAACTAGGCGGATTGATTAAATAAGCAGTAGTAAATATTTTTTCATTCAATATGTGTAAATATTTTAGAATAATTTAACATTTTAATTAAAACTTATAGTTTCTTAAAATATATACCTCTAGATTTGTTTTATTCTACACGTAATGGAATGAAAGACAATGCTTTAACTTTACAGTATAACAATGCACTCTGTGCCTGTAACGGAACGTTTTGTCTATCGCTTCTTTGCGTTTATTGAAATTTTGGTACAGAAATTAATTTTATAATAATATATAATATGTGGTGAAATAATAATATATATCAGTTAATTTTGTGTAATATAATACTTCGTTGAGTTCTTATGATATTTAGAAATACTAAGTTATATTACTTTCATTTTGGCGCTGCCAATACTTTCATTTTTGTGTCATTGCGAAATTTATAAGACATGACTTCGGCCTTATATTTGGAGCATTATCTTGATAGTTTACAACATTTGCCCATAGAGTTGCAAAGGAATTTCAAATTGATGCGGGACCTTGACGACCGCGCGCATGGAATAATGAGGACGATAGATCTCATGGCCGATGAATTACTACCAGATATCCCTAAAATAGATGAAGAAGCCAAGAAAGACAAGATAAGTAGAATTCAGGATCTATTTAATAAGGCTAAAGAATACGGCGATGATAAGGTACAGCTAGCCATACAAACGTACGAATTGGTGGACAAACACATACGGCGTCTCGATTCAGATCTCGTGCGTTTTGAGGCTGAAATACAGGAGAAAGTGCTGAGTGCCCGCGCTGCGCAGCAAGCCGCGGCTGATCAGGAGACAAACACAACAACTGTTAAAAAAGGTAGGAAGAAGCTTAAAGGTAGTGAGAAAGCTGCAGCAACGACTGGGAAGAAGAAACGCGCGGGAGCGTCCAGTGAGGACGATGCAGCGGCGGCGGGCAGACCGGCGGCCAAGAAGAAATCTCAACGTAAAGGTGCGGCTACAATAGCAAATGCAGTCAAGGAACAAGAAGAAAATGCTGATTTGGATTCTGTTGCAGGCATGGCACACCCTAGTGATGTGCTTGACATGCCTGTCGATCCTAATGAGCCAACATACTGCTTGTGTCACCAAGTGTCTTACGGTGAGATGATTGGTTGTGATAACCTGGACTGCCCTATTGAATGGTTCCACTTTGCATGTGTAGATCTTAAAATAAAGCCGAAAGGCAAGTGGTACTGCCCTAAGTGCACCCAAGACAGAAAAAAGAAATGATCCACAATGAAACCTTTGGTTAAACCAATTGATAAGACTGTGCCAGTTAAAAAAGAACTGAAATAATTCCTGGTGTTTTCTAAATTATAGTGTAACAAAATGAAAGTCCATAATTTTTTTTTAATCATAGGTTATGGTATGTAAATGTAATAGTGTACTATATTTTATTATTTAATTCTTATCATGATATAGGAAGCCATTTCACTAATAACAACATAAAATAATATGAGAGTTATTGCAAATTGTAATGCAGTTTAAAGATATATTAAAACTTTTATGTGTACATTTATTTTGCAAAATAGTAATTACTTACTGAGTTTGAGAATGTTATATGTATTAAGTGTAGTCAAATTTTATAATTATTTGATATTTTAATAACAAATATTTGTTATGAAATAGGGATGAATGAATCTTATTACACCACAAAAGTGTCTGTGGTGTAATAAGAATTTCACTCAGCTTGGATAGTCGAGAGGTTGTAACATATCTGCTCGAGTTGTAGAAGAGTAAAATTCTCAACTTAATACATGAAGTAACTATTATGCAACATAAACTAATGTTTGCTAATAAGTTGATGGATTGAGTATTGTAAGAAAATTATGTATTATCATAATGATTGCTACATCTTAAATTAAATGATAACATTGCCATTACTTTGTTTTGTTCAATACTGATGTCATTATAGCAAACAATTGTGAATATAATTACTTTATTGTATTATAGGATATATCAATATTATTAATACTACTTACATGTCATATTGAAATCAAGCAATATATTATGTGCACTTGTAACTATTTCATGTTATTGTTCATTAGCAAAGGACATTGAGGTATTGTGTACTTAGTGCATTAGTCAGTGGAAATGTTTATAATGTATATTATATCTTTGTTTATTTTATTATTGTCTCCATGAAAAAAATATCTGCTATCATATTATCCTTTTTAAAAACATCTATACATAGCCCTAATTTGAAGTGTTGGAGATCCAGGGTGTTCTTCATCTCTGCTTCAATATCACCACTGATTTTTGAGCCATGTGTAGATTGACTTTTCATACAGCCTAAAGAAAATTATTTTTTAAATTACTCTCATTGTTTGTTCAATAATTTCACACTGTGAGACAATGTTATATGTAAATGGTGTTAAATTAACTAGACAAGAAATAAGAAGCTGAAAATATTCTCAATTTTGTGTACATACATAAATACTTTTTGGTGCATTATCATTTGAATGTTGAGAAGTTCTGAATGTATTACATTCTAAAGGAAACTGTTGCAGAGAAAATAATAAAATGAATAAGCAATTGACTGAGTAGTATATTATGTGTTTGTGTACTTTTAAGTTACTAGTCTTATGGTTAATAGTCACCATATAACTGACAACAAACATATACTTAATTACATCATTATGTAGTTTATATTTAACTATAGGTTTACAATTTGATAGGATTGACACACAAGACACCAATGGGAAACTTATAAGATATCTATACACAGTTAAACATTTAAACAAGAGTTCATAGGTACATTAATATAACTATTATTAATAAGAAATAGATTTGTTTTTTAGAAACTAAAAAATTGTTTAGTTGAGATTATAATTCGTTACCTACATATTAGCAAGTCATAAGGTCTTTATTACACGTAAAATGTGTATAGGTCCGTGTTATAATTTCACTCAGGCACAATTGTTTCATATATATAAAATATCCTTGATTATGGTAATTTTTACTTGTGTTTGAAAATGGTTGTTTACCATTGGTTTTGCTTGAATGCTCAAGTTTATAGTTTTAACATGTTCCAAATACATTATTATAATAATTGCCTTCCTTACAATTTGTTATGCAATAAATGTGATGATATTGTGATATTCTGAATACAACTTTTCATTCCAACATTTTGAAGTGACCATAATTTTTCTCTGTTTCATATATCAATAACTATGGTATTTACTAACTACCATACTATTGAAATTCCTTAGGTGTAAAAAGATGGATGCATTTTCCTAATATCTGTCCAATATCTGTATGATATCAATGTTGTACTGATATGTGAAAATAATATGGAAATCATTAGGAAATACTACTATTTCACATTATAGGTGTCTATTCAGTACCTACAGATTACAAAATTGTACTTTTTAGTGCAGTTTTCTAGACATATATAAGAAGTGAAGCTGTATTCAGAAAGAGTTTTGAAATGGATTACAATTTGAGCTAAATATTATGAAATGTTTTAATATATATTAAAATATATTACGGTTACAAATTACATTTATGTAATTATAATGTATTCAGAGATAAGAATCTAGATATTAATTTAATCGTGTTAAAAGATTTTTATCTAAGGATTTTTATATGATTAGAATATAAAATTTGTTACTCCCTAATATAAAGAAATAATAGTAAATTGCAAATTTAATAATATATGATACGTTAGGTTAGATAGTTGCTTTTTACTTTTAATATTGGTAGATATATTGAAGTGATATACTTAAATACATAATATTATAAATAGATTTGTCCTGACTGACTGACTGATCTATAAAACCATAGCCTATACGGCTAACATGAAATACTAAATATAGATTAGGCATTTACTATAAGGACGGCTTTCAGTTAGACGACTTAAATAATATTTGTAGTAAATAAAAAAAAATGAAAACTCGACTTTAACAGTTTTACTTTATAGTCGATTTTCCATAATTTTTTTGGCTACTGCAGTTTATTAGAGTACGGTATCAGTTTTATATTAACTGTGTATGTGATTGGAATCAATTTACCCTACATGTGCATTAGTGGCATGAATAGACCCTACTACGTAAGTAATGAATATTGTAAGTACTCGATTATTAACACCCTTAAAAACTTTAAAATTTTGTTAGTAGAATTTTATATAAATATAGCGTGTACAATAAGATTGAAGAGTGTAAGGATTTTGAATCGTTTTTGTGTTTAATTCGTATACACATGTAGTCGGTGGTATAGTATATGCAGAGACTACATAGAAATGTAAAGCCTCTGCTATACTTAGGTAAATTAAAGATTGGTTGTATTGATTGTATTTGACAGTGTTCGCAGTGAAAACAAAATTCTCGGTCTTATTATAATTATAGTCATTGTCAGTCTTCCTTTAGATCTACTCTGGAATCTAAAAGTTATCCATTTTTGTTACAAAGAAATAATCGATCATTTTTATCGCTTATTTCGGGGCTTAGAATTGATTAATTTTGAAAGTAACCGTCAGATAGTTCTGTCATTGATGTAATAAGAAATTAATAGTTGCTAATGTACAACTCGAGAGTGGAATGAGCTGCATGACGGTGGCATCGAGTGTTATTGCATCTCAAATAGTCTCGAGAGTAGATCGACTGGGACTGCGACTAAAGCAGTGTTTCCCAACGTTTGATTGTTAAGAGGGGCAATTCGAAATTGGAGTTTAAATCTTTCGCTCTGGCCCATATAAATGCAGTGCTACATGTCGGTGCCAAATTTGACCAATAATGTTAATTCTTAAGAATTTAGTGATGTAGCAATTCTATAAATATTTTTATTAAAATTACTTATTTAGAATTTGAATAGTTTTGAAAATTTACTTATTGCATTTCGTTAATTTAGTTTTTTACTCGTTAATTTAAGTTTCTTAAATGAACAATTCTATTTTTAATATTAAACGATACATATGTTACATAGGAGCCTTTCCTATGAAAGATTTTAGAATATTCTAAATTCATAAGAATTTTAGAAAGGCTAAGTTTGGGCATGGCACGTAAAACGTTGGGAAATACTGGACTAAAGCTTATTGCAATTATTGCTTCAAAACAGCAATAATTGCATTGCCAAAAATTGTATTGTTTTATTAGTCGCGGCGAAAACGACTTAACTAATTTTGTACAAATTAGTTTTAGTATATGAATTCCTAATTTATTATTGTAACTAACACAACCGATTTCGATGTACCAAATTAGAAAGTACATCCTTTTTATCAATTCACACTTCGCAGTCGAAATAAAGGTATTTACTATAGATATTCTTAAAAAAACTGTTAAATCATACAAATATATAATTTTTAATTTACAAGTTGAATAGAACAGTGACGTAACGAATTTTTATAATTTGTGGTCAGTTGCAAATTCATGAAATAGAGGCTCAACTTTTATCTAATTACGCTCTACTCTGTAATTTCTTAAATTTATGTAAACCCTATTTTTAAGTAAACTATCTATCTATAATCTTGTGTATTTTTCTTTTGTTGAGTTCCTTGGACGACGATTTGCTCTCACTTACATCTTATTGTTACGTCACTGACTTAGAACAATTTTCTTAGCCATTTTTGTTAGTACTATTAGTAAGAAAAATCTTTTCACCAATACGACATATACAGTTGATTTTTAACTATTAGATAAATATGGGATAAAAATATAGTCAGCAGATTATTTCATAGTTACTAACTGAAAATCAACTAGTCCTTTTAAAGTTAAATAAAATTGTAAGTTTGGAGTAATAAATGTTACTCTCCATTCGTCTTATCTAATTAATATAACTTTCTTATTTATTATTCAAGTATTTGCGCTTTGAATTTATCTCCTGGCGCCTCTTCTGCTATAAATTATGCTATGTTTTTTTTTTAATCTTTCAAAGTTACACTCGTCATGTTAATGTGAACGGATTTTAGAGAAATATTGGCAAAATGGTATCGTATTGAAAGCAATGATGGAATCATTTGTATAGTTTTTTTCTACATAGACAGTGTATGTACGCACCGTCGCCGTAAATCATAAGGAAATTAAATAACGCTGAGGACCAATTGTTCAATTGCAATTTTTCTATTATTTCAATTAAATATCACAGTTTGTTTATATATATAATTATAATAAAAATAAAGTTTTACGTTATAGATAACCGCTTTTTTTTTTAATATTAAGATAATTTTAAGATAAAATTTAAGATAAAGTAGCAATATTTTATCTGTACATTGTATCTATTGTACTGACATACGTACCTCAGTTTCATCTATTTCAGCCACCACACAGCATGCTTTGTAAACTGTTTCAGTTGAAGGGTAAAATGAAGTCGCAAGATGTGGAGGCATAACATCGTATGCAATGACGTGTGAGTTATCCCGCGCGTCACTTGATGACGTTGATGATGTTATTTCTGTTGTTGTTAAGTATAATAAATGCATAAAAATAAAATTGTCCCCTACTATTGTTAATACTTCTTAAGTTAGGCAGTCCAATTTAATTGTTTTACTGTACCAAGGGATTGTTGCCCTCGGAATTGATACCGGGGCAAAGGGTCCACCGCAAGTCACAACCTTCACCCTCTAGGAGAGTGCGGATGACAAGTGTGTGTCTATCTATAAGTATAGGCAACAGTTAATACTTTTAAGTGGACTGTCACCCAGTTTGCCATTCCAATAACATGAAACAAATCAACGCCGCGTTCATTTAAAGCTAGGCATGTACCCTCATGGCATCTATACTCGCAGTTCTTATCAGAAGAGGCCTGTATGAAAAAGACCAACTTCACAAAACAAATTACAATAATTACATACACAAAAATTTGTTTTGTGAAAGAAGACAGTTTTTTTTAATGGATGTTAATGGTTCTCCCGCCTGCGCTGACAGTTTACGCTGGCGAAGCACCAGTGGAGGATAATAGGAGGTCAGGTCAGTTAGCCCATCGTGGTAAATTGCTAGCAATGGGGTCAATAGTTCATATTACAAACAATTCCTTTTTCCCAAATGTAAGATGGCAATGGAATCGACATGGGCTGCTAGAAATGTAGAGTCCACTATTTATATTTTCAATAGACAAAGCGCAATCTTAATTGGTGATAAGGTATTATCTATAAATTAAGTCACAAATTATGGGAAGGATGACAAAGAGAACGAAGTGTGACAAGGGATGAGTAATAAATTTAGTGACGTTACATTTCGAAGTTTACATTTTCTTACAAAATATTTAAAACGTAATTTAAACTAACTTTGAAACGGCTGTTTATTTATTTAATCTTTTGTAGATGTAAAGTTAATAGACGTGTGACGACGTAGAAAGGGAAAGTCCTACAAATGTGACCGCCTGTGAAAAAGACTACGACCGAATTTGACATGAAATTTACGTCTAGTTCCTAGCTAGGGGGTTACATCCGTCATTTTGTCTGCTTTTTTATATAAATAAGTATAAAAAAGCAGACAAAATATGTATGTCCGTCTTCGAGATACAATCTATAATCACGTCTAATATAATTTAAAGTAGTTCAGTCATTAAGTCATGAAAAGGTAAGAATTAAAGTAGCAAATAAATAAAGAAGCAATATTCATTAATTGCCAGAGAAAAGACACACAAACATACATTAAATCTGCATGCGTACAATTTTACTTAAAAAAAAACGAAAAAGTATGAATTTCTACACTGCATAATGTAGGATAATCAGATTAACAGAAATAGTAACTACACATTTATATCAGTTTAGTAAATTTATTATACGTACAGTTACTCTCGTTATTCTTAACTTGAGTAGACACCTCGTAGTACATCACGGATTATTCTGATTTTAAATGACAATTATAAATAGTACTTTTATTATGACAGCTTAAGTTGCAAAATGCACATAGTACATATATAAACTCAGTGTTCCACTTGCGAATTAAGCATTAATCTGTTAACCTACAGTTTAATTCAAGTTGTCACAAGAGTATATATTTACGTGTTACCCGATAAACCTCAATACAGTGTCTATAAAATTTGATGTGATTAGATTGTACTATAGATACTGCGTAGTACGGGTGTGAACTTGTGATCTATAGTCCTGGCAGAGTATATATATAGAGTCAAAAGTCGTTGATTTATAACCGGCACCTAAATAATGATTTTCTAGATTACACGAACAAAAATGTGGTAGATTTGTTTTTTATGAATTACTAGCGACCAGCCCCGTCTTCACACGGGAGCAATGCTGATACTAAACTTAAATGCCCGTACCGCCACGCCATGGCGTCGCTATGGCCTTGCATTTTAAATCTGTAATATCTAAATCATCATACAAAATATACATAAAAACAACTCTCAGAGCGATACAAACAATTATACTCATTAATAAAAAGGTTTGTATCGTGCCCGCAGGAATCGAACCCGCGACCATCGGAAGTTAAACTGTGCATCGCTTGACCACCGAGGCCGAGAATAAGTTGTTGCCATTTCTACAGTATAGTGTGTTTATATTTATTTGTATAAATAAAAAAACAGCTAATGAATATCAATGTAGTTGGGTTGGTATGGTAAATCGAAAGCTATTAGGTGTTATTTCCAAGAGATATTAATATAAAATTATAGCGGCACAAGTAGACGATAATTATATTAACTGCAGCCGAGTAAATCGTTACACGCGCTGCTTTGGGTCACACATAATTAGGTATTTGACTGTAAAAAATAAAGCAAGTTAGGGCAACTTGCCGGTTAACTTAAGAGCACGCTGAGCGCGAAAACTTTGATATTGCATCAGGCATGATCACCCTACGCACGCGTTTGCATCAGACATGTGAATTTATTAACATCTTCGATAAAGCTTTTGTCTTGATTATCTAATTATCTAAGAAATTATATACAATATTTATCTACTTACCTCCTGAAAGGGATCTAGAGCAAATATAAGTAGATATATCATATACATATATTTTCTTGTAGTCATATAAATAAATAATGTTTTAGTAAAATTACTGATAACAGATACTCTCTTACATAGTAAATAAAACCGATAACAAGTAGCAAAAGTTGCACGGGAGTAAACTCTATCAATTGCTATCTAAATTCTATCTACCGATTGCAGAATGAAACATCTTTATTGTTTTTTTCTTAAATAAATAATTAAAGAGAAATAGTATGGAATCTAGAACTTTGTTTTATGAGCTTTATGTAAGTTTTCTTGATAATAAACTGGTATATACAGTCAGTGAATACCTAAAATAAGTGGTACATACATTTATTTATTTATTTTATTTCCACACTTATTTCTATCTTTACAGGTCTTAGCCTAATACAATAGTGCAACACAATACATGTACCTACGATACAAAAAAATATTTTAAAGATTCATGACAAAAACACACAAATTCACTTTCTTTGTTAATAAATAAATGATGCTATTCTCTATTCTAGGGAGGTGAGATGATGGGTAAGAGGGCGATGATAGTTATCAGATCACCCCTTTCCACTCGTAGTACATTGATTTGTTAATATAATCGTAAATATCAAGAGTTATTACTATAAATATATGATAATAAACGATAATATTTATTTATAAATAGAAATAGAAACAATCTTTATTCAAATAAACTCATTACAAGCACTTTTGAATAGTCATATTTTGATTCTACCACTCATTCGGAATGCAGATTCATCACAAGAAGAATGAGCAAGAAACTTGTGTGTTGTTCTTTTTAATAGATGTTTTTTTATATATAAAGAATGACGCTAAAATGGTGCTCCTAGCTAACAAGATGCGTCATGCCTACGGAAATAGATACGTATAATAAATATGGATAAACTCAGTTTTTTATAAGAATATCCTTCGTGGCGAATTCACCACCTATGAGCGTTTCCAGTGGAGATCGAATGGACGTCGACTTGACATGGGACATTAGTAGCAATTGGTCCAAAATTCTCCAATACTATTAATTCTTCCCCCATGTAAGTATGCTGACCACATATTATGTTGTTAATATTTTTAGTTTAGGTATCAATGTAAGTATATGATCATGCATCATATACACAAAAGGTTATGTCATAGTATTAATATAACCTTATGTTATGTCGCTGTAACATTGAACTTGTTTTTAATTCCTTATTAGATAAAATTGTTTTGGTATTCAGCGACCACTGTAGATACGTATACCCAGTGCACACTAGGGTTAAAAATAGATACGTGTGTAAGTGACAAAAAGTGTATTAAATATTAGCTGACTTTTTAGTTCAAAGGTATCACAGGCAGACTTACACCTATTTCGGTTAATCTCAAAGCAGTTTTCTTTAATAGATTTATATTAGTTTCTTCATTTCGCTACCATTAGCATGTTTGAGACCACGCATATTCAGTGAGAAAACCTGACCACTGCTACTGGAAGCATTACGAGACCTTCTCTATTGGTGATCAAATTCCATCCGTTATTGAATCTACACCAATATTATTACAAATGTATCGATTCTGAACTAGGCATACTCAAGCAATGAATAGAGGTAGGTTATAGTTTGGAAGACGGCATAAAATTGCAGCGTAGCGTAGAAATTATAGAGTACATAGGTGTAACATTTTAGTCTTTCTGTATAACAGCTCAAGAAGGTTACTACTTACGTCGCATGATGAATGTCCGTGGTTTTCATTTTATAGTCGCCACTTATCACCAGGTGAGCTGTCAGTTTTATTGCCGTTTGAATTACATAAAAATAGTTTTTGTTGACTATGGTAAATTGCTAGATGTTAATGTTAATAAACAAAACTTCACACGGGTGTATATTTATTATAGATATAAACCTTCCCCTAGAATTACATTACTTATTGCTAAAAAAATCCGTTGTATAGTTTAAAAAAAGAGAACAGACATCGGAAGCGAATTCATTTTATACTATGTAAAGATTATTAATCATATATCTAAAATTATGTAAGTATGTGTATAGTATGTATTATAGACGTATTGTTATGTCAAAATAAACTCGGAAACATTGATAAACTCTACGTATCTACTCTATTTCCTTTATCTAAGCAAGTTTTCAAGCGCAAATAAGATTTAACTATCTATATTCCTTACTGAATATATTTTTAATTTACAGCGATGACAACAGAAAGTAATATTTGAATATAACATACTATAAATTTAAATTATGTAATAAATGTATCGAATGCCACACATTACCTGAAAAAAAAACATAATCAAACAATTTGGTGCACAAAAATTAAAACGTAATAATCCTAAAGAATTAATGCTCGCATATGTGGATATGTACTGTAGTTTTTATAGATACGTATAATATCGTGAAACAACGCGTCTCTCGTATTCTTATCCACACTACGAAGGGTTGGTCCGGAGGCTGCGTGCGCGCAGTGTCTCAGTTTGATTAATCTTTCGCGCGGGAAGAGTTGCCTGCTGCCTATAAAAAATATAATAGTATTGAACCCAATTACTTTTTAATAACTGTATTTAATATTAAAAATTATTTAAAGACAACGTGATGACGACATTATTAAGAAAAATGTGGAGAAGCCATTCTAAACACAAAAGTAAGTTCCTAAGTTTATATTCATCTTAGAGTCTGCAACACAAATTTATTAAAATAAACTTTACATTTAATTGTCTATGAGAATAGGAGATATGTATCAGTAATTACATATATCTTTTATATATATTTTAATTGATTTTGATGACTTTCTTTAATTATCATTCTATTGTTTTAGTCCTGAAAATTAGTATGTAATTTTAGTATGTAACTCAATTTACAATCGTGATATACCTGTTTTAATAATAATAATAATAATCTTAGGACAATTCACACAGCGCCATCTAGACTCAAGTTAAGTTATTTAAAGCTTGTGTTATGGGTACTAGATAATTGATACAAATACATATATTTATAGATACAGATATATTTTCTGTAAGTATGTACAGATTACAAGTAGAAAATACCCCAGACCGATACAAACAATCATACTTATGAATACAAATGTTTGTGCCGTGCGAGGAATCGAACCCGCGACCACGGGAAGTAAAGTCAAAATCTGATTTTGTAAACCAGTTTTAATATGGTCAAAATCCTAATTTAACAGACTGTAATAAGTATATTTATTTTGGAGATAAGCTTTATGGTAAATATTTAATACAATCATCAATCATAAGATATAAACAAATAAGTAATTTTGAGACTAATTTATTTATATTTTACGTTACGTTATTTATGTAGATTATACTATATATCTTGGAATTAGAATACCTACTATGTACTGTACCTATTATGAAAAAATATATTTTGCTTTTTATTTTTGTAACTATTATGCATAATTTATTTGCATATTTTTTTATAATACTGATGTAACAACTGTTAACCGCTCAAACTCCATAGAGTAATTACTTGGTAATATCCTAGATTGTTCTCGAACTGGCGTGTTCTTAATATTTTTTATCGTTCGTACCTTTATACGTCTTCATTATATGCTCCTAGTTCGGTAGCATTCACCCTCCAATATGGCGGAGAGGTCCGTTTCTCTCTAATTATCTTGGAATTAGAAGCTCTCGCTAAGCTCTCCCTATACGGCCTGCTGTCGCAGCCAGGAAAAACTTGCCACGTGACTTTCTGTATGTCTGCATGTAAAGGCCACTCTCCATGATCAACGAACAGTGCTATGGCTTACTACAGACTCACATGAGTGTAACGTGTATTATTTTAAATTTGAAATATTTAACCTATTTAATTTTATTTTGAACTAGCTGATCCGCGCAACAATTATAACAAACTATTGTAAAATTTGATACACTATTGTATGGGCCTGTGTGTGTATGTAAATAAATATTTCGTCCAATTTACTTAATATCTTTTTAAATGTTATTCTGATGTATAAGCTACTATATACTGTAAAGTTTCATTAAAAACCGTTCAGTAGTTTTTGTGTGAAGGGTAACAAATATCCATCCATATTCACAAACTGTTTCGGTTGTATATCGCGGGCAATCCCACAATAAAATGTAGCTAGGTATTACTTTTATTACTCGCTAATTATACTTTTATAAGTAAAATCATTGTTAAAAACTGTCTAATATTCGTTCAGATTATTCAGTATAAATCGATACAAAAAAACCAAATCTATTCTCTTTATAGTATTAGTAGATATTATTATTTAAGAGCTTTCGCGCAAAAAATAAAATATAATTAAATAACCAAAAGTAATTATATAAAAAAATAATTATAGAGAATTTTTGTTTCATGGAAGCTTTGCTTTATTACATGTATACTTTGTTGCAAACAACTCTCGGCATCGCTTTGGGTTGAGGTTTTTTCGGAAATTAGTTTCAACTGTCCCGGGTTTGTTGGGTTTTTGTTTTGGGTTTGTTGTTTCCTGTTTCTTAAAAATCCAGAGAGAATTCTAGAGAAGTCTGTAGACTAAATGTCACTTATATTATTCATTTTAATAATTACACCGACATAGAAACCTTTAAGAAAATTAATATTATTTCTAAAATGGTATAGAATATACACATATATTTAGTTGTTATTTTTTCTTTACTTCGTTTTATCTATAACTCAGTGATATTCTCCTTATAGCTTGCTAATGTATTATCAATACATAATATTGAATAGTAATGAGCTTGAAATAATGTAGCATCATTAACTCCAAATCAGAAAGAAGTAGTAGATATCAACTTATAGTATAGTAGAAAAGTTCACATGATTTTCACAGTCATCTCTTTAAGGCTTAATTGACTGTTATACTATACCTTTTATAAAGTGATCAAGAATTATCTGAATCGGGAATGTATCTAGCTACCTGTACTCGCAAGTAATCGTCGCGTCATAAATTATTAATTGAAGGAAAAGCAATCAAATGGAGAGTAGGGCGGGCGCCGCTGCGCTGCACCGACATTCTTGCAAAATCATACGACTTATCTAGCCCAAAGCATTGGCACTGGTACACGCAAAAACCCAGTGAGAAAGCCGTTATTAGCTCTTCTAGGTCATTTTCCAACGTATATATATACTATTAAGGGACGGCTGCATACATAGCAGTAGAGATTATGTTTGATATTTTATTATTGAGATTCCTTTCAGTTATTATTTCAATGACTAAGAAACTGTAGAGCCCTGAAAACAAAATTACATACATATATTTTTCTTCTACTTATATAGAAACATTATCATTAATTTAAGTGTAGCTTAATCTGGAAAACTTTTTATGCAATTAGATTGACAAACAGGTTGACGACCCAATTGGTGGTAAGCGCCACTGTCGCTCATACACAGGAACAACAACATCTATATATACATCCGTCACAAATATCTATTTGTGACGGCCCCAATGGTTTAGCGGTTAAACACACCGCTTTACTTCCAATGGTCGCGGGTTCAATTCCTTTGACGGTACAAAGTATGATTTTTTGATCTGGTTGTTTTCTAAGTGTATTTCCAAAAGAAAATATAGTATTTATGTAATTCAAGTACCCATAACAAAGCTCTGCTAACTCTGCTGCTTGGGACTAGATGGCGCTGTTTGTATTATCGAAGGAAATTTTATGATTGATCCTGATCCTTGACGCCCGTGGTTTTCCTCATGTGTCACATTTGAAGATGCTTTTCTAGCTTGTAATTTCGCTACCATATCTTACTCATCACCCAAAACATACCTTGGAAACAACTTTGCTAGCTTAAGAAGAAACAGAGATATTCATACAGACATATTTTTATAGTATAACTTAGGTAGAATTAAACAGAGCGATGTTAAGTACAAAAAATACTGTAAACCATAGACTTACAAGTTGGTGTATAAATTATTGTTATCAACATTATAAAATGAGTATTTGTCGAAAGGCGTCATATATTTTTTTAAGTTTTTATTTTTATGCCCTATACTCTCTGCTAACAAATAAAGAAGTACCAAATCTACCCTAGATTTGCTATCACCCACATTTAACGTACCTATTCCTATTGGTAAATATAAACTTCGAAATAAACATATTAAATCTAGTTCAAGTTTTGCCTGTGACAAGAGCCAATTTAATTATTTTCTATTGTAATAATATAATGAGGTTTCTGAGTTTGTATGTTCATCTCCAGTAGTCTAATTTTTATAATCAAGGAGGGTTATATATATAACTATATATGTATACTGCATCTCGCTACGACCAATAGGAGCGGAGCTGCAGTAAAAAGTATTCCAACGAAATTAACGCAGGCAAAGTTGTGCGGGTCAGCCAGTGTACTTATAACTTATAGAACCTCCTGATTTCCTAAGACTAGAAGAAGTTAGACTATGTGCTCTTTTTGTGGTGTAAAATGATTTGTAATGGAGACAAGGTCAGGTCTACTACCACGCGGCTTCTTATGAAAAATATCGTGCATAATTCCTGATTTCCTAATTGTCATCTCATTATATTCCTTTAGTGCCTAGACAGCGTAGACTGCATATACCATCGGTGGAAATACTATTCCATCATCGTTCATACAAACATATGGGCTTCAATTGTGAGGGGGATATTCGCTATGAATTATGCGTGTTCGCGGACTAAATGAGATAGCTTGCCGAATGAGCGGTAGATTAAAAAAATGTAATGATTATTCAAAAGTGCTTCAATGTAAGTTTATTTGAAGAAATGATTTTCTATTCTATTTTCTATAATCTGTATATCGCGGGATAAACATTCACAATACTATTGACCGAACAAGCACAAACAGTAAATATTTAAAACCTATGTAACTGGCACAATAATGATAATAGCAATCGTATAATGTTCTTATAGTATGCTATTATTATAGTAATACAATTAATAATAATCACACATTTAGAACATACGCAGTTTAATGTCGCAACATCAAAATCCAATCAGATATATCTTATGACATCGAAACTACGCTTAATATGTGACCTGTGGCCCGATGGAGCTATCAGCCCCTCGTCTGGCCTAGATAAATAGCAGATATAACTGAAATAGACGGTCAAAGGCGACTGCGGTGATAAGATTGTTTGCAAATATTAGATACGCGGGACCTTGCCTCGATTAACGTATCGGGATAACAAATGGTTGTTTGTTGTGATGTTCAAATGGAAAGGAAGTGATTTTCCTTTTATTTCCTGTTCCGTTGTCACAAATAATAAACGAGTTTTATAGTATTTCTATACCTCTTTCATGCCATTGTATATCTTAATATAATATTATAAACGCGAAAGATTATGGATGTTTGTTACGCTTTCACGCAAAAATTACTGAACGGATTTTCATGAAGCTTCACAGTAATAGATATATATAGCTTATACATCAGAATAACACATGGGCTATATTTTTTATTGAAATTTAACACGGGTGAAACCGCGGGTACAGTTCTTTATTGATAGTTGCACTAATTTTTTGATTTTTGATGACTGTTTTATATGGTACTTATTAATTATTTACCTAAATTTTGTTATATACAAATGACCACACTAAAATTTCTAGGTCGGTAGTTTTCATTGTAGTTTGACTATACTTACTTCTTGTTACTATACCTTGCATTTACCAGATTTCGTGGTAGGTACTTAATTTAAAAATTTTCCCACAACATTTTAGTAACAATTACTTATTGAAAATTTGTTTTAAACATACCTATATCCAATTAATTTTTATATCTTGGGCTATTGCTGACTGCTAATATAATAAAAAAAGTATTTTAAACGCACTAGTAGTTTATAATAGGAATTTGAAATCATATTGATCGCTTATACAATGACTACAATTATTTATAACTGGATTTATACATATAATTTATGTAAAACAGACGAAAAAAGTTGTATTATTATTCTACCGCTCTGCAGTGTCACGTACACAAGCATAAACTATAACAGACATCTTTGTTTCATTCATAAAGTTCTTTATTTAGCCAGAAAATAAATAATTGTATTGTTATACTAAAATATATTGTTAATCTAATCGTATAAGCGTATTGTATTTTATACAATAAGCTTATTTATGCAGATGTTATAGAAATATAGGTTAAATTAATATATGTTCGGCATAGATATAACAATAAAAATAATTTAATAAAACAAAAATAAAGAATTTACAATATGAAGTCTATATTAGTGTGCCTAAAGCTTTATCCATAGTTCCATAGTTTTTAAATGATAATGACCTTAATCTAAAAATACATTGTACAAAGTTGTTTCCACGAGTGCCTTGACGGTATACTGTTTGCAGATTTCTAATTTGAAATCTTATATCAATAAAAGATTAGTCTTATCGGAGTCTGATGGATATTCAAGGAATGTGTTTTAACAAATGTTCTCAGTGGACTGTATATACCAATGTGATACTGGTAATATCAATACCAATCAAAAAATCTACATTAATATCGTTTTATGGATGGTAATAGAATGGTGCACCCGCCTTCGCCAACGAATTACGCTGGCAGTGCACCAGTGGAGGATAATAAGATGAGCATGAAGTCAAGTCAGTTAACCCATTGTGACAAATTCATAAGGATCCCCCAAAATATTTTATATATACGAAACGATAAGTTTTCTATATGCCTCAAAAATTAGTTATGTTTTAATTTATGGATCAAAAACTCAAGTAAAAATTTAGTTTAGAGTTTTTCTATGTTATGGCTACATGTAGACTGTGAAAGGTATTTTGTACCATATAGTTAGTACACATTAATTATTCATCATTAAATTTTGCAACTTTTAACTGTAGGTACCTAATTATTCTTCAATCTGTAAGTAGGTCCTCGAGCTATGTTTTTATTACTTGCGAAATTCGTCTTGTATCTAACCTGTAATAAGGTAATGAGCTAGGCTCAGAAAATTGCATCGCTTGATTTATGGGTCGAGTTATCAACGATTGGTGACAACGCCCGTTTTATAGGTACTGTCAACGTCCGGAGAAAAAGTCAGGTTTATCGTGGATATATTATTATAATAATATTATAAACGTGAGCAAGTTAAGTTTAGAATTTGTCACTCAACCAAGCTTGCACGTTTTTGAAATTTCGTCGATAGAGACATCATATATTACATTCGTAACTTTTTAAATCCTATTTAAAAACAAGGAGCGAAATGCTAATGTTAGAATGGTTTATGGAATATTTCATACAATTAAAATCAAAACATATTTATTCATATAGGACTTATCGGGCTTATTCATCATGTCAAAAGCTTCTAATCCTAACGTCCAGTTCGGCTAGCTGCTTCAGTTGAGTAGAACTGGCTAGAAATACGACTGGTACATTTTGATGTTATTATAATTTAGTTTTTATTCAGTTTAATCTATAAATATTACATTGTGCTTAAGTAGAGTATATGTCAAACCTATGTAATAAAAAAAATAATTTAACGTAATTCCGTACAACGCCGTCTGCGAAATAGGCATTAACAGTTTAATAAGCATTTCTTATTAAATTTTGAAATATTTTGAATGCACACTGCATATCAATGAAACATTTTATGAGCTACATATACTATATATATTATATATACACTACACAGTAAGGGAAAACATTGAAAATGCTTTTCTAATTTGCTGAAATATATATAAGTTAAGTCCGCGTTTCTGTTCGCTTGGGCGGGCTAAAAAGTAGCTTAAATCAGCTTCATTCCAAATATTATGTGTGATTACTTTCACGACAATTTGTACTCATTAAAACGTGCCATAGGCTAATAAATATTTTCAAATTTATATGGAGTAGTAAGAATTAAGCCAGTTAGAAAATTCGTAGTCAGGTTACGGTTTTCATTCGCTTTAATAAAAAGAAATGGCGGCCACATAGATCCCTCATTCCACAGTATCACACCATAAGTCCGAGTAGGTACCTACTTCTATTTCGCTTATCATTCCATCTAATTTTTTCAAGTTTTGCTCGGCTCCTATAAGTCATAATATTCTTCAAGAATTAAACTATAAAATTCAAGTAAATTTCTCTAATCCGGAAGTCAGTTTTCTAGGTTAATGCTACCAAACAAATGAACTAGTCAACTTTATATATTAAAGAGTATAGATTAATATGGTGCAACTTCCGGCTTCTGTTGATCCCAGCCTGAACCAACTGTCGTTTGAGCTCTAACAAGAGATTATAGTAGAGCATGACTCGTACCTTGAGATAAGACGGTTGTATTTTATGATAGCATAAAGCTGCTATGAGTCTAACTAAGCGTTAGTTAGACCACAGTTCGTATTTATTTATTTATTTTGTGGTTATATCGTCGTTTTAATTTATTCGAATTGTACCAAGAATGCACATTTACTATATTAAATGTAAGTGTTTTTTTAGGTAAATCCATTACCAACAAATACAAATAAATAAAAATAAAATCTTAATAAAAATATTATTATATTATTAATTAAATAGTAGACTATGGCACGAGTAAATACTAGAGCTCGCGACTCAGAGTGCTTTTTTTAAATACAAATATTTTTTATTAGAGTAATTTAATAGCTTATAATAATCGTCGTTGTGTTACAATTACAATATATGTTCACGATACGTTTAATTAACTCATTCAGGCATTTAGTCGTGACAAGGTGACGATCAGACAGTCTGACACTTTCAGATTTCGTATTTTTCTGAAGATCAAACTCGTGTTTTTATTAGATAATTTAGAAATTCTTAACATTGTATAAAAGTCCCTTAAAATTCAAAAATAATAAATAATTCAATTAAATGATCTTGTTATATTTATAGATAAAATATTTCAGAATTGTGTGAAGAATGGGCATTAGCGGAGTGCGAAGGGGAGGGATGGTGGCGTGAGGCACGGGAGACGAGCGGGCGTAGTGAAGACGTGAGGTACGCTGGCGTGGCGCCAGTGGAGCGAGCCGCTTCCGCTCCCGCTACTGCACTCGCTGTACGATCCGCTTTGAACTCTGCTAAAAGTAAGAATGAAATAGAAAATTCTTCATTAAAATTAATTTAAATTTAAGCACATTAATTATATTATCACTAGTGATCGCCTAATGGTCCAAATTTGGCCATAATAATTTAAATAATAAATTTAAACACTATTAAGTTTCTATTGTCAAAAATTTTAACTTCTATAATCAAACCATTTGCTAGTCGGACAGTCAATAAACAAAAGAGTATTAATGTAATATGTGATAAATACATGATTTTATTTTAATAATTTAATGTATTTTTATGAAAAAAAAATACATATATGAAATTTTTTTCTCCTCCGTAAGTGCAAAGTAAAAAGGGGTATAAAGTATTTGCACGTATTTAACATAAATTTAAGCACATTTTAGTGTTTTTACGTGTGGCATTATAATTTTCAGCTCTGAACAAGAAACTACAAAAGGTCAACCTTGATATCAGTGCCAAAGGAATCATAGTAAGCGATGCTGACTCTCAGGAAAATGTACTCAGCGTTTCGATTTACAGGTATGTACATTTTATTATGTATGAAGAATTACTGCAAAGAGTTAAAGAAAAGAGAGAGATCATAAATATTATTTAGAATAGGCGGGTATGTAGGGGCACTATATACGACACGACAATTATGAATAATATTATCGAAGGAAAAATAGAAGGAAAGAGGGGAAGGGAAAGACCAAGAAACAGCTATATTAAGCAGATTAAAGAAAAAGTTCGAGTCGTATCAACAACTAAAGAGACTGATGGAAGATGCCATTTATGAGCCGAAATTACGAAACCACTATAACTAACGAAATTACGCTGACTTTAGAAGGGGTTTAAAATACTAGCGGTGCCTTTAAACTAAATCTTGACAGATAAGAACTTGGAACGAGGGCACTCCAAACCATCTCGCAGGGTTGGAGTGCCTTCGTTCCAACATATAATTTATATAGGGTTTTTATATAACACGGTTACTAATATCTGGACAGTTTACATGACAATAAATAACAGATACCATATAAATTAATGAAGTGTAATATCAAAGAAATAATTGATATTTGTGAGAAAGTCAATGACTTGTATCTTACTCTGTATGTATTTCTTTTATAAAACGGCGATAAAAGCATAATCGTATTGATTAATGTGTCTCTTAATGTTGAGTTCAAACTCTGACTTGAATGTAAGATATGTTTAATTATTTACGTTTTCAATATTGTTTATATTTATAATTTTATTATCAATCTGCATTTAAGATGTGTGGTGACTTAAATAATTACTATTAACTTCTACGCTAATGGTGACTTTCTTCAAAATTACTTTGGTGCTTTAGTGTTTTAGCACACTGCTTTACTTTCGATGGTCCTAGGTTCAAGGTTCCCAAGCCCTTACCGTAACCTTGCAAGATAAAAATATGAGTATGACTGTTTGTATTGATTTGGGAGTACTCATTTAGGATATTTGATATTTGTTGCAGAATTTCATACTGTTCAGCGGACGCGGCTAACGCGCGGGTATTCGCTGTGGTCGAAGGCAAGAGCGGTAGCGGATCAAGTGAATCACACGTAGTACACGTGTTCGTGTGTGCGAGGCGGAAACAAGCGAGAGCGCTTGCTCTGTCTCTGGCACACGCTTTTAATGATGCCTATCAGGTATTTTTTATTTTATCATTAGTCCTATAGATATATATGCACAGTTTCTCTCCCACACATATACAAACGTCCAATAACGTAAAGTAACGTTAAGACCATCTCTTGAGATAGTCTGTTAAATTTAACGTACTTTGATTCTCACTTTATTACGTTTATAATTACTTATAATAAATTTCCAATAATTGAAAGCGGAAGTAACTGGTACCTAAAATACAAGTTTATTCTTATTTAGTTTAGGTATATACAAAATTGGAAGAAATTATTATTAGGCGACATTGCTAAAGAGAAACGAACTTCTTAAGCAATCCGCGTCTGGTTCCATTGTTTTATGTTATGAGAACGGTAAACAAGCTTGCGATCCATCTAATGGTAAGAGATATAGGAGTTACAATAGGTACACGAATAGCAGTACGGGTCTCGCGTTATCATGTGACATCCGTGACCACTCATTTTTTGTTGCAATTCCCGAGGACTAAGATGTTACCCTATAATTTAATTACCTAATCGCATCGTATACCAAAAATATAGATTACAAAGCTGAAATAGGTGAGACTAAGATATCCACAATGTATGAGGCATTTGTTTATGTTTACAGCGATTCCTTGATATTTTGCAGACCAATGTTTATGGTATAAACACATCTAGTTGTAAAGCGTTCAAGGGAAATTGTTTATAGGTATCTGAAACATTATGGTTTACAGTAAAATAAATATTATTTTTAAATGTAATTTAAGAGCTCTGTCTCGTTTAATCTGTATGATGTTTTGGGAAAATATTATACTTTTTTTAACCTATTGATTAATAGTAATATAATACTGAGTAAGTATTTTATTTAAAATGTAAAATTAATTTGAGATCAAAAATTTATAGGAATGGCAAGCTAATCAGGGCAGCTCTTTACAATCCACCGGCAAAGATACACCTTGGGTAAGTTTTACATTTATTATTTACGACAATAATTTTTATGAACATTTCATAGTTACGCGTCATCGCATAGTATCAGAATTGGTATGAGAGATAAATTAATAACATTCGAATGTCTATATCAAGAAACATTTTTTAGTTTAAATCGTTTCAATCGTGACCTTATTGCGTTTAATTTAAAAGCTTCTAAAAATATTTTCATATTAGGCAATATGGCTTAGAGAAACTTGTCTCGAGATATGTAAAGGACCTTCTGTTGTGTGCGTTTTGGTTAATCTAACACAACCAATTATTCCATATAATCTATACATAATTTTGTATTAACTAGTTCAAACATATTAATTACAGGTTCGATTCCCTGATGAGTCTGATGAAGAAACAGATAGCGAGCACTGTGAGTCTCCCGCTCCGCTTGTCACTTTCACCTGATCTTATATTTAGTGATATGCAATTTATGATGTAGTTGCGCGATCACACACCTTTTGGTTTTTATACGGTGTTACCAGGTCTATATTGTATTCAACCACAATAGATTTTAAAATGATATTTTGGATTATAACGGAAGGAAGGCGATTGCTTGTAATGGGATGTAAACCCACTGCTAGCAAATTCACTGTCTCGTCGTCCTCCATGTAGTTCCTTCTGTAATATATTGTGGTTAATTTATAGTGCATATATCTATCACGAAATATGAGCATGAAGTCATTTCAGGTAGCTCATACTGATCTGACTTCGTGTTCATGTTTACTATCACTTTCCACAGATGCAACACCATCGTATACCGTTAGCCATTCCATGTCATGTGAACCATTCCATTAGCATCCATACAAACAATCATATAAGCATTATTTCTTTAGTGATTCTAGGGTGTGAGTTAAATTCCTTGTGCATGACTTGAATTTATTTTTATGTACTTTAAACTAAACATATCATAAGTAAATTAATTACTATCTATATCATCTCCTTCCTACCATTATTTCATTTATTATTTGAAGTTTAACTTACCCACAGTCTGCCTTATGGCAATCGTCTTTGGAAATTAATAAATTATCCTTCTTCTCAATAAATATCTAGTTTTTATTCTAAATTAGGTCAAAAGATAATCTGGCAATATAAAATTCTTATAGAAGAAAATAATTGCGACGTGTGTGATCGTGCTAAGTAATAATAAGCAATTTATTGGTTAAGTAAGGCTTTAAATAAATGCCATTATGACTGTTTTCTTATAAGTTAAATTTGATATTTAAGATGCCCGCTTTGCTAAGAATCTATCAATTCTGTTTCATAAACTCACTGAACTATAATAATAATATGACCACTGCAAGAATATTCTTTTGTATATTTTGTAAATGTCTAATTAAGACATATAGGATAGATAGATAATTATTTTATTTGTAAATTAAATTAATTTTACTCTCTGCTTATCAAGGTGGGCTATTTAAGTTAGTTGTAATGTTTTTATTGACATGTACCTAATAATTATTAGATGTACTACAGAGATTTAATTTAGGAAACAATTTATCCTATAACATGTTTATAACAGCGTGGTGAGTTTATCTAAATATTTAGGATTTGGTTTTGTACAAAAAGTAACTATTTGTATATTTTATGTAGTATAAAACTAATACAAATCATTACACAATAATTGAATCATCATCTATGGATTTACATAATAAAATAATCGAAATTTCAGTTTCATCACTATTGCATTACATACTCTGAAAGAAAAGTCGATGAATTAGGAATCTCCTTTTAAAGTCGGTTGTAAATAAATAGTAGTACATCTATTAAATTTGTAAGAGTTAATTGATTTATTTATTAATTTTAATAAATTGTTAAAATAATATACTTTATGGTTATTATTAAACAATATATAAATTATACTGTCTGTTTAAATAAATATACCCCGAGAAGATACTAGGGAGATTCTGCTCTTCTGATCTTCATTAGAAAAATATGATTTACACTTTATATTACAATATAATTATTTCTAGTTTTATTTCTATAAAGCTAATGAATAGTGTATAGGGAGTATAGAAACAACATAAAAAATGAAGTTTGTTCTTTTATGCGTGTAGAGCCGAGATTACAGAGTAATCAGCCAAAGTCCAAGAAGCACAGAAGCTTCCTTGTCACTATCACAGGCCTCAGAGCGACCTCACTGTTCCTAGGATTATTGTACATTGGTGGTCAATGACATTTACCATTACGGGAACGGTTGTTTTCGACTTCAAAGCAGCCTTGGCAAACACGGTTGTCTGATGTGTCTATTATGTATACAGAGTAATTAAACTATAAGTTTATACATATTGATAGCAACCTCAAACTTTTCATTTAGACAATTTTGAATTTAGAACTACGGAAATAGTTCGGTACTACGGAATAGACAATATGTATAAACTTGAATGGAAACTTGAAACAGAAATCAATTATAACGTAACATCTTTGGAATACATTCTATTACCACAGATAAGATAATCTTGTCGTCTTCCAATTTGTCTTCTCAACCACAAATCCATTCTACAGTATACTCAGATTAGCTGAAAAGTATCTTTAATAAGTTTGTACATCAAAATAACGTATACATATTTATATATGTGTATGTTATTTCGGTTTACAAAAAATGGAAGCAAATTAAGCGACCTTGCGCAAATTTAAATACGTTTTTTTCCATTAAAATTTAATTAATATATGGTGAGCATTAATATAACATCATAACGTATTAAATATTTTAACCTACCGTTTTCATTGGTGTAAAGCTAGCTAGTTTCAGAGTTATAACATTATTGTGTAGGTAGTTTCTTATTTCATTGGTTTAATTACAATAAAATTACATATTATATTATAACATATTTAAGTAATATTAATAACAATTTTGTTATAAAAGCGTTGCTTGTTGATCCTATATAACTGTTTAGCTACATGCTTATTGCTTATGTCTTATTTTTAGTGGGTCTTTTCATTTCTTCTCTATCTTTCTTGATTTTAATTGATAGGTTTGCTAGAGATCACTCTTCTATAGAGATGTGACAAACAAATCTATCGATAAAGATTTAATAAATATCCGACTTTTTCATGTTGTGAGATAGATTGTTCATTCGTAATTGAAGAATGCAATTCGAATTCGGCTTACAGCATTTCCCCCAAAGGTTTAATCTAGAAACGACACTCCTCGAATTTGGCAAGCCATCGCAACCCTTGTGGGCTGAGGAAGAGGGGGTCGGAGCACGCGCGCCCTCCATGGTAATTAATCATCATGAAGTCGAAGCAATTAGTCACCCCGTCATTGTTGCAATCCTGAAATATGAACAGACAGGGCGTTAAATTGGAAACTTTAGTATTATCTATATAATATATGTAGTTTATTTTTGACGTAAATGATAGATGCAATCAGCCTTCTGATTAAGATATGTTTAGCTGTGTAGTTGTAAATGGGTCACACACATATATCTATACACACACTTTCATAATTATATATTTTTTTCGAAGTATTCTAATGCTGATGGCCACAGCTGGCCTTTACAGCTTCACTGGCCGATTGATATGACTGACTGATTATATATTTTCGTAAATACATATATTATATATATAAATGTATCATAGAATACTTCCAGACTAATACAAACAATCATACGTATTCATTCGAAATAATGTTTTCATAGTGCGAGGAATCGAAGCTGCAGCCGTCTGAGATAAGGCGGAGTGCTAAACCGCTAGGCCACCAAGGTTATCAAGGAAGGCTCCTAAGTGTGGTAAATGAGATTACTCACTTTTCCGTACTTCGCCATGTAGCTTTCAATGACTCTGATGGAACAGAAGTAGTCTCTCGCACAGTCTTCGAACGCTGTGAAAACAATAAATGATTGTATGAAGCTAATTCCAAAATATAAAAAATAGGGGGGAAAGGTGATTGTTAGTCATGTGGATTGATAAACCCGTTGCTAGCAATGTATCATGTCAGGTTCTGTCAAACTATTCTGATAAATTCCTTATGAATTTGTCACGATGTGCTAACTGACCTGACCTCATGCTCATCCTATCATCCTCCACTGGTGCCCCGTCAGCGAAAATCGTTAGAGCAAGCGGAAACATCATTCTACTATCATCCGCTAAAAAAATATTTACAAATTTCAAAATATAATGTACATAGAAAACTGGAACCAATTATACTCATGAATACAAATGGGTGTACAATACGAGAAATAGAAGCTGCGACTATCGATATCGTGGTGTGCTAAACCACTAAATCACAGAGGCTGTATGTTGTATTGTATATATCTGTCAACACAAATCTGTCCCTCAGTATCTTTAACCTTCAAATCAGATCTTCAAGTTATACAATACACGAACCTAACGCGTATGAATAAAAAAACATTCAGTCATAAAATTAAATTAATTAGGATTTCCAGTTTACCTGTACCTCACACACTTGGAGATAAGGCACAGTGTATCTTATTGGCTAGGAAGAAACGTTAATTACCTATGTTGCATAATTTATTTTTTAATATTTTGTTGCACGTTTAAAAAACGCGTAAGATAGAAAAAACTAAATTTACAGTATTAAATGCGATCTTGTAGCTAATAAACTTCTAGACAACTTTTATATTTAGCCCATTTGCATAGATACTAAAGTTGTTTTTTGTGTTCACAAATCAGTAATAATCATCATGTCCAATATTACGGTACAGTCTATTATTATTTTGATCTGTGGGATTTGTAATCTACTTGATTATATCATAGACATACGGGGGCGGTGGATTAGGTTTGGTAATTACCTACCTACTTGAAAAAACGGAATTAGATTCTCATTGTCACTCACATCTGTGGGTGTGGTTAGTTGACATAATCTGGGTTCAAAGGACTTAGATGATCTCAGGCTCAAAGTCATTACCATTATCATTACTTATTTTTGTTAAACGAAGTCATTTTTATCTTGAAAGTCAACCTCAGAAAAACTGAAAATAAATGATTCTTAAAAAACAGGTCAAATACATTAATCACCTAAACAATTATTTTTCACTTTTTCTTCAGAGACGAAACTGTGCTTCTTATCTAAAAAAATTGAATGTGCTTTATAGGTATCAATGAACTTTAGGAGAACTACGTAATGTTCTCTATTTGGAATTATTCGTAAAGAAAGTTAAGTTTATATTTGAGCAAGCATTATCTAATAAGAAAATTTCGGAAGGACTAAGTAGCAGGGTAGTCTAGAACCCTAATAATTTTATATTTAGGTAAGTTAATTTTTATTTTATACTATCTTTATTCAAACTTTTCCTAATTATGCGTTTTCTAGTAAGAGCTACTTATTTTTCCATTCTAATAGGATCCATTTACCAGGGCTAAATTGTAAAAAGTCATCATGCATGTATACCTCAGTTTTATCTATTTCAGCCGCTTGCTTTGAACACTGCGTTTCAGTTGTAGGGTGCAGATCATGCAGTGAAATTACAGGATCAGATCATATCATCATAATATATCTTGGGAATGGCAATGCATGAAGGATATCATATGATAACGTGATATCCACAGTGATATTCACGTATATAGGCGACGGTAGCGGCCATTCCAATTACTCACAATAAAAAAAAGTACGATTTTCTGAAGTATGTACTAAAATTAGATATCAAATCAGTACAATGTATTTCTTTATACCTTCATCACGCTCGGGATCATCATTAGCCAATGTTGGCTTGCCGGCGTCGATCCAGTACAGTTTGGAGATGTAGAAGGGACCGCAGTACCCTCCAGAGCACCCGTGGGACATGTCACAGCCGGCCACATGGCAGAGACATCGTATACAGGAGCCACTGAGATTGGAGACATGCACTCCTGAAAATTGTGGTAACTTTTGCCAGAATAAATATTTCGAAGTACAGTAATTGCACTACTGGATGTTTTTTATCATAATTAGTATATATAATTAACTATTAGGTACTTAATCTGTGTTAGAGTCATGTTTAACTTGTTTAAATTCTACAGATTTAAACAAATTGAACATGAATCACATAGAAATCACCTAAAAATTCCTGTTTTGTCAGATTATTATTCACCTTTAAATAGATAAAAATATTTCTTTTTAATACATTGTTTTTAAATATTTATTTCTAGATTTATAAATGTTATTTTTATAAAGTTCACGATTCTAAAATGTTGTGTATGGAAAGTTTTCTACAAGGACAGCGTACGATGTGGGTTTGTACGAGCTCTAAATTCTAATAAATAAATATTTTTTAACACTTCTTAACTTCTGATTAGTATATAAAAAACAATCCAACGAATGTTATAGGGGATAACCCAGTCAAAGTCACGAGTACAGTAGAAATATCTTTAGTTTAAATAGAACCGACCGAGAATCAAACCTTCTACTTCGTTTATTACGCGGTTGCCATTACGCCAATGCAGTCATCAATTGTGGTAATTTTCCTATTTAATGAAATTTCAGAGCATCAGGTGTTACAAGAAATTATGCTGAAGCCTTTTTTAATAAATTATAAACCTAACAAATAGTTACAATGCCTAAAGAGACTAGAAGCATAGAGAACACAAAATGTATTGCAACGCTCACAATAAAGCCACCACATACCACTACCTTAAAAATTTCCAATCACAAAACCTTCCATTTCAATTATAAATCAATGAGTATACTCACCGAAAACAGTATATATAGTAAACAAAACACAAATAAAATATTTCAGATACATTTTGCAATAATCACTTTTTATTGATCACTTCACTACCTACTTATCTCCTTCACAAACACAGCCTCTCCAACACTAGCCTCTCCCACATTGTTATATATTATTTGAACTCTTCACCGATTAATAGTAGTCTATACGACACGGATGCTGCTTGCTTAACTGACTTTGTACCTCTATAATTCTATACAAATTCGACGAAACACAAGTAAAAAAACTTTAGGTAAAAACTATGTTGTAAAGTGTTCATAACGTCTTGTGGTCCGCAGTCATGTAATATTTATCATTGTTACAAGGAATTAGACGTTTTATTAAATACTATAAGAAGCCGTGACTATGGCTGCTAGTCGAAAAAACTACCCATAATTTTTTTCAACACTCAGAATACGAATTTGATTGTATAGGTACAGACGACCTCGGTAGTTTAGCGTTTTAACACACTGCCTTACTCCTAATGGTGGCGGTTCTATTCCTCGCACGATGCAAACTTCAGTATACATAAGTATTTTTTATATACGTATATAGTTAAGTATTTTTATCAATTATTTAGTGTCCATAACACATGCTCTGCTTTGCTTGGGATTAGATGACTCTGTGTAAATTGTTTATGGATTATTACAAGGTTCGTCATTTTTGTTAATTAGGTATTTAAAAATAAAGTGACTTATTTTTATGTAAATGATGTCTGTGATATTGATCATGTATGACCACTTTCTATTACGTGTTCCATCAGATTGCTTTCCATTCCAGTTAAAGAAGGTGTTTTTTTTTTATTTTTTTTTTAAGTTATAGATAATAATATTACTAGATATTGAAATCTGTTTAATCACATCTAACGCTAAGCTTATAAAACTTTTCCTGCAGTCCCATTGAGATGATTATTTCCCTTGTCTATTATATATAATTCTAACAAAGAACTCCAGAATGGCAATAAAAATGATAACACTCTTGTTCACTGAAAAATAATTACAAAAGAAAACTTTACATAAATTTGCTATACAAAAAGCGGCCTTATCTCTTAAAGCAATCTCTTCTTCTTCGTATTACGCGACTTTTTACAATAGAGAAGATAAGCACTTTCATAATTCTCTGGAACAATTCTAATAAAAAACAAACAGTTAAAACTAGGTTTATTCCACTTAACATCTCATATTAATAAATTTCATTCTCGCCATATGCAGAATAAGCAACATATAGAGAATTATTATTAAAATTGCTAAATGTAGCGATTCTTTCACTTCCATCAAATTTTAGCGAAAAAAAACTCAACGTACAAACTTTACAATTACGATTTTATTACATTATTATATAGATAATAATGCAATATATCAATAATTCAAAGGTTCGTGTCCAGTAATGTTAAATATGTACTACCTACGTAGCTCAGTAATAAATACGACAGTCTTGAACTTTGAAGAATGACATCCGGGAGGTAATATATTCGTATCCTGTTCAGTCAGATTCGTCATATTGCTATTGTGTTTTATTGTTAAGTCATATGCTACAGTTTCCTAGGACTTTTCAAGGTGGATAAAAACCAAGTGATCTTCGTCTTTCTGTGTTTGCGAACTTTTCAAGGGGCTGGTTACTTTTTGCATATCTAATTAATTGATTTTTTATTGCGCTAACGGAATAATCCGGTGATGATGATGAAAGATGATAGGATAAGGATTATATAGGATTGAACATTAAAACCGAATTTTAGAATACAATATTAAACACGAACTATTGAAGTAGAGTCACCTCGACTAACTAGAGATTACGATGTTTTGTAGAAGCGGGTTAATCATTATTTCATTTGAAAATTACTGCGTCTACCTACCACATGTGGGTTAACAGTAGTGAAAAAATTTTTTTATTATTACATTTTAATAGTAGATAAAATTATGTCTTATTTATATTATTTGTATGTACATTATTTTGCTTACAAAGTGTTTAACAGACTTTGAAATTACTAATGCGGAACTTCACTAACTGACAGATACACGTTTATAGATAAATAGTAACATTTACAAGTTGTTTGTCAGTAAGTGTCAAGTAAGGGCAAGGGTCCAATAACAATTTGTGTGGATTAGGTAAATCTGTAATTACAGAAAATTACAAATTACAGAAATAAAACAATGACGCTGTCGCTGTCTGTCCGTCCCTATGTATGCTTAAATCTTTAAAACTACGCAACGGATTTAGAAGCGGTTTTTTTTAATAGAGTGATTCAAGAGGAAGTTTTATGTGTCCAATACATGTACATCCGTGCGAAACCGGGGCGAGTAGCTAGTTTAATATAAAATAACATGCAGGGTTTCCTTGAATTCATGTAGTATACATCTATTTTATACATACCGTCATAAAAAGACGATCTCAATTCGTAGGTACAAAATTCTAAACTACGCTAAGTCACGGATATGTCGAGGATTCTGATGGTTTACCCACATTTACCTTTCTTATAGTCCTATATAATTTTAGTATGTATGTTTTGGTAGTCGTTTCCACGTACCTTTTTTAATCCTAACTGCGATTCCTGATGATGTTATGTGCAATAGTAGTCGAGAAACTTGAGGCCAGTAATTTATTATCCTAAACTACGCCCAATAGGTCGTGAGATCAAAGAAACCGAGCGAATTGTGGGCATGTCAAGTGTTGCATTCACCACAACGTCGACAGTTCACAATGTCTCTGCTTCTGACTACCCCATCTAGGATAAGAGTCGTAACGGTATGTACATAAAATACTATTGTTATCCACGTCTTCGTCTGTAAAACTTTTATCACTTATTTCAGCCCTGCCAGATATTTTTTGAGATAACAGATAAACTTTGTCTGTGTTTATTTTTTAACTTTTGAGTTTCGTCAACTTCATTAATATAGGTTAATGGGTTTTAACACGAATAATTTTATGGTAAATAAAGGTACCTCTACTAATAAAGGTAGGTACCTCTATAGACGTTTCGTTTGAGTTTTTCAGCTCGTGACCACGGCTAGCGCAATCTAGTCGAAACGTCGAAAGAGGTAAATACCTCTATTTACCATAAAATGTTATTTGTGTTAAAGCCTTTGTACGGCCTCGTGTTACTACAATTCATCTTCATAGCATTAAGATGGGATCTTCATAGCAGTAAGAAGGATTTTTTTTATTTAGTATTATTTTTATTATGCGGTTTGAGCTATTACTAGATATTGATAGAGATATTCAGTGGATTACGTATACAGTTGTAAATATAATTTACTTCGTTCCGATTGCAGTTGCACGTTACATACAAACTGTTACTACTTATTAGTAATAGCAACAATACTTATTTTAAATGTGATGGATTATACTTTTTCTACTTCAATCAATGTGCTTAATAGATATTTCAGATCTGTAGCACTGCGACATACAAAGATCTATTGTAGTTGCCCTCGTTCCTGTGGTAAGGTAATGAAAAACTATATTGCACTTTCTAATATTTATTTCCTTTACAAGTTTACTACAGTGACAAATCCAGGCATATTATTGAATATAATTTACATATCGGCACAGAATTGGGCTAGTACGTTCAGATTGCATTTTTTTAGACAACACTCTTCAACTAGTGAATTATATTCGGATGACAGAGTCGCTTCTTGTGTATCTGTAAATTAAAATAATAACAATGAATTAAAAACAATAAACGACTTGATGGCGTTTATATACATTTAACCGTTTGTACACGATAATTTTTTTTATAAACAGAGTTCAGTATAATAAATAAAATTGTAGATAACATAGTCCTCGGTCTAATATATACAACATTTGTAGTAGACGTACATAACGTACTCTGTGCATTTGCGAAGTCTGTATTGTGAAAATGGCGGGAACGGCCATAATAAATGTGCGAGAATATTTATATTCAGAACAAAAATATACACAATGCCATCTATTTTTTTTTAATAAATTAGTTAATAAGTACCTGTGTGGCGTACTGTAAAATATCCATAATATTAACAATTTCACCCCTTTGCCTAATTTTGCTCCCCTTTCTATAATGACATTCATGTTAATGTATACAATGTATTTAAAATATCGTCCTAAATCCTCGAGCCATATATACATAAGACCTTAATTAAAAATAAACAAGAGGAGGAACCGTGTGCCATGATAGCAATAGCACCTGTAGTCTTCCCACTACTAGCAATACCCTACCACCCTGGATATATAAAAAACATTAATAATCCTTGATAAATATTACGATGGGCGAACTGACCTGACTGTCTACTCATGTTATCATCCTTTACTGGGATCTCGTCATCGTATTCCGTTTGCACAGGCTGGTGTATCATTGTATATTGATCCATTAAAAATATTTGTATGTGTATACATACAAGTATTGCTTATACGATGCGTCTGCGCAAATAGCATATGATAACCCTCTCTTCGGTTCAAGGTAGATACATAACATAGTAACAGAAGATAGTCTTGATACAACACTTTTTTTTTACTACTCCCATGCTGTTGGCCGCTGGCGGGTGCAGATGGTACTCCAAACCCGCGGAAGGACTTATGGAGTGGCTGAAGGCCAAATCTCGCCTGACGGATACTTTTACGGACTTTAATCTGAGGGCACTATTAGGGATTCGAGCCTCGGTTCAGGCCGTCGTAATTTCGATCCCCGTTTGTATTAAACGGGGATCGAATATAGGAAACATGATATGATAACATGTACAAAAGTTTGTAGTTGAAAAAATACTTACATAATTCAAGGGGCTGGTTATTTTTGGCATTTTCATTAATAAAACTACACATGAGGGCTAAGCGGCGACCACAAAATTGAACGTAATCTACGTCCCCAATGTCTTCGCCAAAAGCAACAGCAATCAGTGCAGATACAACAATCATGATGACAAAGATCTCTTGTATGACCTTCATATTAGACACTGTTAAAAAATGTGATAATATATGAACTTCAAATTAAGTATTACTTTCATTGTAGGTACTCGTATGTCATGAAAGTAATAATGTAGTAGGTATATAAGAACTTAAAAATTGTATAATAAATAACAAAACAGACCGACAAAAGAGTCTACAAATTCAGTTTTTAAATCCAATGCATGTTGCAGAAACAGAATTTGTAGACTATAATATGAAATATTAGTCAATAATATTATAGAATAATTCTTGTAATGACAATATACATAACTAAATGATGTACCAAGCAGATATCAAACCAAATGTTTATAGATAAATATTAACTATACGCACATGTAATTAAATCCACTAGTACTATACTCGTATAAGCAAGCTTCTAAAACGGAATGGAACAGATACATAATTTGTTTTTGTGTCTATAGAAAGTAGGTAGATTAATTAACCTATGACACTGATATTAGGTTTACAAAGATATTAATAAACAACTTCATAAATCTGTTTCAAGTCCACAGATCAGGAAAATACATAATTAGCATGATAAGGACTAGTGATACAATGACTATAACCGCATATGGTTTAATTTTTTAACATAATTAAGTTACGAGAAGTCAATGATACGACATGGTTTGGAACTGCAATTAAATAACATATGCAAAAATAAATTCAATTATTATTGACATTACTCGTATTATGACGATGATAACCCATGTGTTGCCATACCTAAGGACTAAGATGTCATGCTTCTTATGCTATATATATGTGTAGTTGCTGGACTCTACATCTATAGAGTGGGCAAATGAAGCGGGAGTCGCAATGCAATGATCTCCAATTCTGGCAATGACGCTCGTTGTACACCGTGTGGATTATTCAGAGGAAAAGAATACACAATACAAAATACACACCCTCGTCACCCCTCTCCATCTCCCCAGATGGTCTTTTGAAGATATTTCGACACGAGAAAAAGGAAAGACCGTTTTCTGCGTCGTTTATCTAATGTAAAAATAAACACGCACATATATATATATAAATGACAAGCAATGATGGTAAGTGGCAACTTTTGACTATTCGTTCGAACAGCATTATGGACATCACGCCATAATGTGATACTTCAGGCGTTGCCATCCTGAATATTTAAGGTGTCATGCCTCTTCCTTAATAGCTTACTTAATCCTGACTGCTGAGTGACATAGGCTTATATATATTATGTTATGTATACAAATATTTACAATACTCACAATGTTATGAGCACCCGGGGATACTGGAGTTAGTCACTGTGTGTGTACTTATAAGTTTTAAGTTTTTTAAGGGAGAAATCATTAACAAAATCTAAAATAATTTTATGAAGAATAACATTTAATTAAAAGCAACAAGCGAATTTCTACCTTGTTCATCTTTTAATGAGTCTTCTCTCAGAATAAGTTGTGGAATAAAAAAATAAAGTATTAAAATGTGCGAAGTTTAATAATTCTTGTATCAATATGTTTTACTTACCACACCTAAATCTGTAGCTAAAATAAAATATCATAAGTTTTTATATTTTGAAATAACTTATAACAAAATGAAGTACGAAGTCCAATTCAAAATAACCAGAAATTAATAATCTATTACTAATCAACCTTTAGATGTCTCTAAGTAGGATAGTCTAAAATTTAAACTAAGACGTTGCTTAACTAACGATGAGTACGGCGTTAGTGTCGTTTTTAATTAAACTTAACAGACTAGTTAGTACTTTCTTATAATTATTGTATATTAAGACAGCCTATGCCACACTGTATTAGGTTGACTGGAAAAGATTTCTTTTAGAGATAAGTCCTCATTTGTTAACTTTATTTCTAATTAACATGTCTAAAAATGTATTTAAGTGTAATAAAGAATATATAGTTAATATGAAGTATGGATGGTGGATGAGTATTATGAGTGATACCACCAGAAACAATATTCTCATTATCGTAATTAGATCGATAGAAGTTGTCGGATTGGGATTGCGATTTGCTATTGGAAGTAGTTATGTACATGGTAGTATATAGTATGATCCAGAACCCCTTTTATATTTTTTATAGGTTTGAAGACCTTTGCAACCAGTGGTATGCTAATTAGGCCTAAAAAAGTATTTATCAGGTATCGTAATATAAAACGTCTACACACGTCATTAAAATCACTAGGCAATATCGAAACAACGGTGAGGAACGCTAGAGATAGCTTCTTAAATTGCCGCGTGTGTAGAGAATTTGTAATAGTTTGCCTGCACGACTGATTGTACAGAACTGCTTCAATATTGCCTCTGATTTTAGTGTCGTGTGTAGATCATTTTAATAAATTAATCAACCGTAAAGTGTCGTGTAAAGACTTTATTTTCCTTAGTAGGTAAGTATTGCTTGTTGAAACTTAAATTATTGTCATTATTCTAATAGATTCCAGTCTTCTTAACCCTGCTGCTGTTGGGAAGCAACGATTGCCACGCACTGGTTGAAAGTGTTGACGTAATTGAAGGGTAGCTCTCCGCTGCACCCGTATCCTCCCTTTTTGTGTATAGCCATGTAATCGTAGCAGTTGATTTGACCGTCACCATTGCAGTCCTAGAAGAGAAATAACAATATTTATTTGCAATGTATTAAATAAATTGTAGTGACTTTACAGCTCCTCCCATATTATAAAGCTAAAGCTCAAGAGGTCAAGCTCTATCTTATAAAAGGTCTTCCTCTACTCAAGAAGAAGAGGTTTGTATCGAGCATTCATCGCGATTAATTCGAGTTAAATTTGCTACGATAAGCTAGTTAGCCTATCTTACCCTTGACCTGACTTAATGCTCATCTTACCAGTGTCTACTGACGTGAACATATACCGCCTCTTCAGACGGGTGCACCATTTCAAATTAATTAATTAAAAACCCGCGATTCATAAAAATAGAATAAATTCGTGGTTATTTTTACAGAGAAAGATTTCAGATAGCTATGACTTTACCTTAACTGGTCATCTGCTCGAGAACAATTTTGAAATCGTTTTTTTTCTGACTTAGTCTGTGTACTTTTTATCTATTTAATTCTTAATATTTACACCATTATTTTATTAATATATTGATATATAAAGATAATTTATTCAAGTTCATGTCGTTAAGGTCAAATTACGATATAGTCGGAATTTTAATGTTAAAATTATAGAAGAACAAAAACAATACAGATGAAATATTGCATATATGAATAATATAATAAACAAACTTGTATAATGATACATAGGTATGAGTATATTTAATGATTTCATTGCGAATGAAGTCAAACAGGAAGAGTGTTTGAATGGAACATTCTTAATCCGTGTTATTGCTTTACTATTGTAAAATAAAAATATTATAGACATATTTTTCTTAATTTACAAGTATTAGGTATTCATTCACAAGTATATGGTATAGCGGGACGAATATGAAGGTGATACCTTAAGTATGATACTTTAAGAAAATTCTACAGATACATATATATTTGACATAAAAATAATAATAACTGCCAATTAATACTAAATACAGGACATATTTATTATGTACATAATGTGGTACTGTAATTATTAGGCATCAGAATAAACTGAAATATAATACAATTAGAGATCAATTGAATGATGAGAGTTATTTTGACCTTGTGATTCTATGCTAATCTAGAGAATTCGTGAATGAGGTAGGCAATTAATGAAAAATATTTTGGTACAAAAAATGTAGGAAGCTATAGTAGGAAATATGATGAGTTATATAAGTATTTTTAATAAGCAACATTTGCCTTATCTATGTTACTTTTATCACAGATAATATAATATTACATACTTATATACACAGGACTAATCGTAATTGTCCCGGCGTCGGTTTCGTTGGTAGTAAATAGTCCCTATACCTTGTTATATCGTTTTCGAATAATCCTGAACAAAAGCCATGTAGAATACTCATGATACCGACTAGTCTCATGAAGAAATTAAATAAATAAATTTTAAAATTTCATTACAAATTGACCACGTGATCAGTTTGTAATAATGTTTTAAAAATTCTTTTCAATTTTATGTTTGACACTTCATAGGGAACTTTGTTTAGTTGATGAATATGATGTCCGGTTTTCGGCCGTGTATTATACAAAGTAGATATTTTTATTTACCTGTGCATATCTCTTCATGTAACCTTGCACCGTCTGTGCGGCGCAGTACGGGTCATTGGCGCAACTGGGGTACGCTGCAAACGAAGGTATTAAGTTCATTTATAGGTAACTCGATAATAATAAATAAAACAAGATAGGATCAACTGACTTTTCAATGTATTTAATATATTATTTACATTTGTTTGAGGCTTACATTGTATAAAGCTGTCTGCATTGATACCTGTGCCTAAACATTTATTTTTGGCGCCAAGCAGTTTTAAAAAACTGTATCTAATGTAAGCAAGCTTATATAATATTTGTCGCCATGTAAACATATATTTTTTCGAAATGGAGGAGATAAAGTCTTAGACATATTAACTGTAATGGATAATAAAAGCGATATTGTTCCCTAGACCAATAATCGTTCTTAGATTGTAGATATTCACCTGATTTTAGCGACAGGGGCAGCAATAATGATTACGATTTCACTACACATGGATGAACTAGGAAGCGATCTGGGCACTCCAAAATCGTCCCTGAACTATGACAATGTACAGGCTAAACTGACGGCCTACCTGGTGGTACTTATACATAAACAGCAATACAGACATCAAGTATTTATTCAATGTATACAACATTGCTTGATGTTGGATTGATAGGTATTGGCAATGATTGAATAATACCTTGAAAAGATGATATCATAATTAAAAAGATATTTGATATGTAATTTTATTGATATTAATATCTACAAATCCGGCTGAAGACCGGATTTAATAAACATGAATAAAACAATAATAGTGCGTAGTTTGGTAGTTTGGTTAATGTAGAGATTTATTTGCCGACATCAAAAACGGAGATTTTTGTTATTTTTAAATTTTCAGTTATGTATAGCATTAATTTGGTTACTTAATTGCAAACGCTTTTCATTTTATTGTTATAATCTTTACATAGTTTAAAACAAAGTTGCCGCCACTATCTGCACATTTCGATACGGATTTTAACGCGGTTTGCAGCAGTAGATATAGTGATTCAAGAGGAAGGTTTATATGCTATATTATATTATTATATCTATATTTATGTAGTATAAACCGACAAATTAAAATATTTGTAAAACAATAAGCGATCTCAATCTTACTACTTCTAACCTAGACCTATCGTGGTTTAATACACTGCTCTAAGTAACAGTTGTGCATGAGTGTGTGTTTTTGTGTGTATGTTTTGAATGCTTCTCAATAATATAATAATCAAAGGTATAATTAAATTAGTAGACGGTGAGGAAATCTCCCAGGGTCTTGAAGTTTAAAATGGAAATTATTTAAAATAATGAAAAGCTAAAGGAAGTAATTCTAATCTAGGTATAAGTTAATCAGGAAAGCGGCACCATACAAATATTGGGTCATATTGACTCATCTCAGATTAGTATCTTATACAACAGTCTCATGTAGGACGAAGCCGTTGACTGAACTAGTGTTATATGTATTTAGCTCTCTATTCAACTCTTGTTATTATTTGCTTGCCATTTGTCTTTCAACCTGAGGTCCGCCCAATGAATTATATAACAAGGAAATACAGAAGTTAATTATCTTTAAGGAAAATATAATTACTGGTTACTACATCGCTTTTATACAAATAGGTTAAATCATTTTATCTTAGTCGGCAAAGTTATCAATCATTTAATCCAATGAAATGCAAGTTATTTTTATATTTGCATAATTTTATACTTATTTGCATACTGTGGAGTTTATATGAGTAGATGCACGACAAGATTGCAGTCACGAACTTGTTTCCTTAAGTACTCAGGTCTTTCTATTAATGGGATCTAATATTTTTTTACACATTATATATTTTTTGTGACTGGAATAGCTAACAAGATTTATGTTTTAAAAGAAATTGGACGATTTACTTATTGAATTTAGGTTCATTTCTTTAATTCCGCTACAATCTTAAATATTCAGTGCGGAAACCTGATCACCACTACTGGAAGAGTTACGACCTTCTCTATTCATGATCAAATTTCGACTGTTATTGAAACTACACGCATATTGCGATTCGTGTTTCGCCTTTGAATGAGGTATCATTAGGCAATGAGAGTTCGGATATACCTTGGAAGCTTAGTGTTGACCAAACTGCTACTTTAACTAAATTCATGAATTTTATACCTTTTACACCTTGCTGTATCTAGGGACTACAGCTTACCTATAATAATACCCTGTACTTTTAATGATTCATAAATCCTTTTATTTTTATCTTTACAAGAAAAGTATGGATCTAAAAGGATATGACCCATTTTTTTATAGAGACATAGTTCACAGAGTATTAACAAAAAATTAAGAACGTTTTTATTTCTTAAAATACAAAGGGACCTTAGAGATTTCGTGATAAAATTACTAATGTCAGTGCAAACAAAATATCACATTTGAAGGAACTGAACTCCTTTTAATAACATAATAGTTTTTTAGTTAAGAATAACCAGTTGTAAACTAACCATTAGGATCATCAGGTGAGAGTCCATGGATTGTGGGCTTTCCAGCATCAGCCCAGTATGGCCACGTGATGTGGAACAGTCCGCAGTGATCACCCTCACATTGTGTCCCCTGCTGACACCCAGACACCGCCTGGCAGATACAGCCAAGACAAACTTCAGTCACTGGAGGAGCCAACGCAGCTTTGGCTTCGGGTAGTTCAGCTGGAAATTTAAATTAAAAATTGAATTTAAATTACAGAAGCACCGTCTAGACATTTCGTTTGCTCTATGTACGAGCAACTGTGCATTTATTAATAAATGATAATGGAATGGTGCTTACGATTTATGCTGGGGAGGTACCAGTGGAGGATGATAAGATGAGCATAAGGTCAGGTCTGCCTAGCCTAGCCTATCGTGGCAAATTTACCAGGAATTTATCACGATGGTTTCCAGGGGGAACCGTGTGGAGGTCAACCTGACATGGTACATCGCTAGCAATGAGATCATTAGTCCACATTCCTAATTATCTTCCCTCCTGAGCGACAGTGTATCCATAGAGTATATCCACAAATTAAGTCAAAGGAATTTCCTAATTTTTACAACAGGTAAGTTTCTTGTTCATTCTTAATCGCTAAATCTGAACACTGAATATTGTCGTAGAATACAAAAAATACGGTTTTAAAGTCATACTATTAATTTTAGTCGAACGATACGAATCAAAATAAATAAATTGCAACAAAGGAACTACACACTAATAAACCGTCATCTCATAATTTTGTATTCAAGGCTCATTGTGTCTAAATATTTATGTAAATGCCGCTAAATTGAGTATAATGCAATAAAAATCCCAAAGGGTCAAGGTACTTACTTACTTGCTATAGCTATTTAGTATAGTTTTTTTATAAATATGTATGTGTATGTGTAATATTATTTTCATAATATATACCTATAAATTATTGTATAATATAATAAATAACATACTATGTTGGTAGTATATGCAGTACATGCATTATTTAAATCGATAGAAATTGTAATATTTTGTCATAGCCAAGTCAACATAAGATATATTTTTAAATAATACGTTTGGAACCTTTGTATCAAAATTAATTTATACCAACTAAAAAACCAAGAACTATTTAAATTTGTCATATTATCCTATATTTATAGTTAGATACATGATTTTAAATGCCGACCGTCATATTGATCATTATTCGAATAGAGCATAAACGGTTTTTATTGTTTTCCAAATTTAAAATTAAAACATATCTATTAAACGGTTTTTTTTATGTAAATTAGAATGTCAAACAAGGCGACGATGACAGTACTGCGGGCTGTTGATGTACATATATAGGCGAAGGTCCGCTTACCATCAGGTGGAACTTCATGTTATCATGTGAAACTCGTTTTTATAATGTTAGGTAACTAATTAGTCACTTCGATATTCTATAACGGCAACATTATATTTATTGCAATATCCATCGATTAAGATATTAATGTGATAGGAAATCCCAGATCGTGATCTTCGACGTTCGGTCAGGGTTAAAAAACAAATGTCTAAGAAAAATTATTTAAACAATAAAGACCAGGCTAAAATAGCAACTAAGCTCTATATATTTATCACACTTCGACTCATGAAGTTACAAATAAGTTAAAAAAGAAAGCATATACGAATGTCAATTCTAAATTTAATGTTTTAATTGCACTTTTACAGTAAATTTAATAATGACGCCACGGATTGTTCGAGAGGAAGTGCAAAATTTATATAAAGTAAAATAAAATCGGTGTTTCATGCGTGACGTTCCAAATTTGAATTTTATAATTTTATTTTTAACTAGCTGTGTGTAGTTCACTGTAAAAGACATAGATGATCTATCCGTACTAATTAGGGCCTTGTTGCTTTTTAGTTAGGTTTCTATAGCTTTAATTATTATCCTGAGATACGACATGACTTTGTGCAGTGTGCAACAGAGTAAAAAGACCAATCTGAAGAGTATGTCGTCGAACAAGTCAGCTCCTTATAATGCGGAGTCTACTTATAGAGAGACTGGTTATGAACCGGATTTAAGTCTGAACTCTTGTATGTCAAAGACATGAATTGCTTGTGAATGCGTCAGTTATTACTAACTAAGCAATTTTATAGCGTCATGACTGTCATTCAGTATAGGAATACTCAAGCTTTTTTAATACTATCTTTATCTCCTAAAAGCATCGTGGCTTTATGTAGTTTTTAACCTTAACCTTAAAAGGTCTGGTCATCTGACCGTCACAAATAATGTTTACATTTCTAGGCAATTTATATTATTGACTGACTCTAAGGAAATACTAGTAACAAACAACAATGAATTTCAGAGACTTCGGTAAGTTCGTCTCCTGCTATTTTGGTTGGTAATATATCCAGTGAAATGTGCATATGAAATGGTGGATTCAGCACGACCTCTATAATTGATAATGCCTCTGATTACGTCATCAATCAGAGGTAACAGTAATAAAGATATTATTTTTAAAATTTTATTTATTTATCGTTTTCAAATCAAATAAAAATCATTTATTCATGTAGGACGTATCTATATTATTACAAAATATTAGCCGCTTATGGACATTTTTTTTTGTATTAATATTTTTTCCCTACCGTATAGTTGGGTATACAGATTACATTGTGTGTATTTACATTGTGCATTTATGTAGGTGTCTATGTCTAGCATTAAATGAAAATCCCGTGCATGAACTACTATGCATGCACATTTGTCATTCCAGTAATCGTTTTAATATCTAAGAAGATACAAGTAAATAATTTCTTTTAAATCTTCGAGCAAAGTCACTTAATAGACGCATTTTGCAATGTAGATGACAGATTTTGTTGGTAAAAAAGATGCAATATGTCCAATATCAAACAACTGCCATGAGGTAATGTAGTGTGGGCACACACTCACTTGCATAACTCCTTGAATTGTCAATGTGAGTCAGTGCTGAGTAAACATCGCATCTTGGACTTGACATATATTATCAAAGCAACGTAACATTCACTATACTTTGCATACACAACAAAGAAAAACTGCATAATGCTCAGTGCAATGAGTTCTGTCTGAAGTATTCTTAAGTAAACATATAATAATAAATACCAAAAATCTTATAAAGTTACTAGTATTAAAAAATTAAAAAAAACGCTTATAATGTTATTTATTTGTACCTATCCTGTGACGTCACCCGTATTTAATGCCTATGTATGTTACTCGTTAATAATACTTAGACATTCCAAACTTTAAAAAACAGTACAATAGATTAGTATCTATGACCCCGACCCACACTAGGCCTGGTTGTATGACGATCGTAGATAGCAAAGCAAAGAAAATGAAAAAATACGGTAAGGATTAATAATTTAATAAATTTAATGTAATAAAATATAATGTGTGAAATTTTCAAAATAATATCACAGACTGTGGCGTTCTCCACGTCTATGATACTCGCTTTTAAAGATTTTCCAAATCTTAAAAAATGTACAATAGACTAGTACCTATCTATGATCTCGATCCTACACTAGGCCTGGCTGGATGACAGGACGGTAGAAGTCGAAGTAAGAAGGATGCTGAGGCGATTAAAGAAGTGTTAGGTATATGTTTAACAGTATATAATAACAAATAAATATATAATAACAAATTATATTATTACTTATACTTATAGTATTACTTGAATTGAAACGAATGAAGCGGATTATTAATTTGAAAACAAGAAAATGTTTCATTAAATTAATTAAATATAGAAATAAGTACTTACAAGAATTTAGATATCTGGTAATAATTAAAATCATATTAATATTGTTATTAGTTATTTGTAAAAAAAATAGGTTAATTGCGTAAAAACTACGAAGCGACTATGAATCGAAAATTATATCCGTAGGTAGACTACGGAATGTATCAAATTTTATGGATTCGAGGTATTACCTAGTTGTTTTTTCTTTATTTTTTGTCGAGGTTGTTTATTGGAAGAACATTTAAACTTTAAATAAATATACCTGTTCACTATTCACAATAATACGCACGGCAACATTATCGCGATATCCAATGCCGTAAATAATAAAAAAAAAAAAAAAATAAAAAGATATTACGAGGGTGGGAGTTTTTTCGCCTTTGTCGTTGTCGAAAAAAGTGTTCTGATGATCGCTGTCGTAATTGTCGTAATTGTCGATATTTTATATAGATTTCTTAACTAAATTATTTTATATAGATTTCTTAACTAAATATTCTTAACGAAATAATAAAGGAACGCAAGTTGATACTGGAAAGCACCTATTGTCGGTTTTGGCGGTAAACAGGTAACCCGTTCAAAAGGTAAGTTCGGACAAGCCCGGAGTTCTGGGAAGCCTTGCTGAAACCGAACCGGCAATCCTCGCAGTACAAGGTGAGTGCCTTCCAAATTATCAATCTTGCTCAAATCCAATTGTCGTAAATACAGTCCACTAAAGACAGCTGAATTCAAAATTTTACGTTAGCTGTTTTCATAACATTTTTTGGTCCTTCGAGCCGGATAGTTTTGATAGGCGACATAATAATTATTGTTGTTAATTTGTTTTACACATTTTGTCGAGTAAAATAAATTATTATTGCGTTCGTTTTAATATAATTCAATAAAAGTCATTGTAATTGAAGGTAGATAATTTATTATAGTGTAACTTAACTTTTTTAATAATTTGAATTTTCGTGAGGCATAGACCAGCCACATACAGCCATATCGATTATATTAAATTTAAATCGATCGATTTTGTTTTCGTTGCGTATTATTGGGTAAAAATATCTAATTGTAAATTATTTCACGTAATTATCGTTTTATTGATTTTAATTAATTTTTTTATTAATTTGGAGTATTTATACCATGGCAACTAATAAAGACATTGAATCTGATACTGGTGATATAAACCGAATTTCTCGTGATTATGCGGTAATGAGATTGGAAATTATGGAGCAATCTGATTTGTTAGGGCTCTCTGAAGTAGATTTTAGGGATTTATCTAACGAATTTCACTCGTCGCAGCGAAAATTGTTGTTATCGTTGAACCGTTTAGAGCGTACCAATGAACTTGAAATTACAGTTAAGTTTGATACAAAGATGAAACAAATTAAACAAAGATTTGTAGAAATGAATTCTATAGATAAAAAATCTATTTCTAATATAAATGTTAATAACAATGAACCACAAGTTTCCGTAAAATTACCCAAAATCAATATAAA